GGAGGAGGGATGATCCGCGGAAACCTGAGCGCAGAGGCTCTGAGCTGCAGCCAGCGCCGAGCCAGCAGGACCCTAGCGGCTCTCCCTGCACCGGCTCCTGCCAAGCGCTTCCACGTCTCACTGCGTTTAAGGTTCACAACAACTTTATTCCTTGGGTATTGTTTACATACGAGGACACCGAGCCCGTCCGCAGCTGGCAAGTGACCCAGCAGAGTCAAATTCGGGTTTCAGTAGCCTCAGAACCTGAACTCTGCCTCAAGGACAAGCCGCAAGGCCACATAGTTGGCCTATGGGGTCGCACCTCCTGGGTGAGGACACCTGGGACTCAGTGCCCGAGAGAGGAAGTGAGTTGTGGATAATGCCACAGCGAATGGCAGATGTCAACCCATTGGGGGCATCCCTTCTTCCTCCCACAGGCCATCCCTCCCTAAAGGGTTCTAAAGTTTAAGATTACAGGGCCGAGCAAGAAAATTCTGAGGCTCTAAGTGTTTAAAAACGCGCTCTGTTTCCGCTGTTTGAGATCAACACGGTCGGATTCCGAAAGAGAGGAGACCTCACTGCAACTGAACTTGAAAAAAAGCCCATTAAGAGTTTTTGTTTTGTTTTAAAGGAACCGAAATATTGGAAGCGGCCCCCAAGGGAAGCAGATGCTCGACTTTCACATCCACCAACTAAAATCTCATCTGACCCGAAAGAAGAGTGAGAGTTCACAGCTCCAAACCACTCCTTACAGAGCAGGTGGCAGTTTAGGAACGTCATTCGGTGCATGGACCTGTCACAGGTTAGTTAATGTCCCAGCAGGGGTTGGGGCAGCACCCTATAACCAAGTTCATTTGCATTTTTGCATGAAAACATGAATATTCATGTGAGAGAAAGGGGCACACAATGACCTCAGTTAAGGAATCATTTGGGCTCTGCGCGACTGTGACCTCCCTCCCGTCCCCTCGCTCGCGGCGACCTACCTGCTTGGGTCTCTCCTCCCGCGGAGGGCAGCGCACGTCCGGGATGGCCTCGTAGACGTTCTCCGAGTCGCTGCGCACCAGGGGCCGCGGGCAAACCCAGGAGCCCGCCACGCTGGAGGCCTTGAAGTGGCCCGCGCTGCCCAGGAGGCCGGCAGGGGGCGCGGTGCCGCGGCGCGCCAAGTCGTCCAGGGACTGCGCCGGTCGCACCGGCGCTGCGGGCCGCACGTACAGGCAGGCGGGCCCTCCCGGCGCCAGGCTGCTGCGCTGGCCTCCGGCGCGCTGTCGCGCAGGGCCACACAGGGAGCTGGCGCGGCCCCGGGGCTCGGTGGAGGAGCCATCGGCACCCACCGGGGTGCTCACGAAGCGGTAGTCGTAGGCCAGAGGTTCCGGGACTGCGGGGCGCGGCTGCGGCACGGAAGACTGCGGGGCCGGAGCAGGGTCGCCGAGTGCGGGCAGCTCGCGCACGTACTGCGCGGGGAGGTAGAAGGGGCGACCCCCAGGCTCGCGCCGCACGTGCCACCAGTGCTCGGTGCTGCGGCGCAGCAGTCGGTAACGCTCGTTGGGCTGGATGGCGATACGGCGCCCGTCTTTGCCGGTGTACTCGAAGGGGTGCTCCACCAGCACGTACACATCCCCTTCGACGTCCGTCGCCATCGCGTTTTCCTGCGGGCAACGAAGAAGAGGAGCCGCCGAAGTCAGGACCGCGCAGCCTGGAAGAGCACCGCGCCTGGGGCTCAAAGCCAAGGGTTCGAGTCCCTCTCCTGCCCTTGCCCAGTGCATTCGGGCTTCAGTTTTTCCATCTCTGAAGTGGGGACTTGGATAAAGTCATCTCTTAGGCTCCCATTCTTAAGTCTCCATTCTGTGCCGTTGATTGTGAGATATGTGTCTCGCTGCGATCCCGCGGTGAGGAAATTGAGGATGATTAGGAACTCAACTTTACTCTCCGGGAAACCTTGGCTCAAGGACCTGCGGGGACTGCAAGGTAGATAGCACATTTGCCTGATGGTTGGCTGAGCCTCGCTTTCCGGGTCGGCGAATTGGGAATTAAGGCCCCGGTCCCGTCGCTCCTCCGCCCCCGTCCCGCCCCACCCTGACGCCTCCAGCCTTCAGGGAATCCGTGGAAAGCCCTTAAGTGCCCCCTCCCTTTAGGAGTATGCACTCCGGGCAGGCGAGGTTAGCTTTGGGGCGCAGGCTCTGGAGCAGCCCCCAAGTTGTTCCTCCTTAGGGGTGTCCCTGCCTTTCTTAGTCCAGGGACTTTGACGTAGGGGCTTGGACAGCTAAGGCTGGAGAACCGGTTCTCTGGGTTTCTCTTTCCTTTCGCAGTGGCTTCGCCGCACACGTGAACTAGGAGTCCGGCCCGCCCAGCCCGGCCAGCCCCGCCCCCTGCGCTCCAGCCCCGCCCCCTGCACTCCAGCTCCCAAGGCGGCCTCTAGCAGAAGAGGCTTCCTGTGTGCGCACCTGCGTAGGGATCCCCTACACTGCCTGCCCGCCCGGGAGAGTAGCTCCTAGAGGGTGCATTGCGATAGTGTCACCAGGGTCCCCTAAAGTTTTTTTGGAGTGATCATTATAATCCTCCCCCCTCCCCCCCTCCCCCCCGCCATGCCTGTTCAGTCTGGCGCCTGGTGTAGGGGGGAGAGGGACGATCCCAACTGTGTGCCTTCAACAAAGTGAGGCCGATGGCCTACTCCGGAAGTACTGGTCACTCTAAAACCCTACACTGACCACTCCGTTTTTCGCCCTACAAGGTGGCCTGGGGACCAGCAGTGGGGAGTTTGCCTTCCTGTTTTCAAAAATTCCTTGATGGGGGAAGGGGTGTAAACTGAGTCACTGAGTACCCTGAGCTTGGGAGGCGGTATCACCGCAGATTACAGCTGGACGAGCAAATCCTGGGATTGTGGACACTCGGGTACGCCCCCTTCCCCAGGACCCCAACTACGCACTCACGTTAGCTGGGAGGGTCTCAGGCTGCCCATGGGCTGGCTGGGCGGGGCCGGCGGAGGGTTGGAGGTGAGGTCTCTACCATCTCTGAGGGCGGGACTTCCAAGGACTGAGACTGAAGGAACCGCGCAGAACAGCTGACACAGAGAGGAGAGGCGGAGACCCACACTCAGTAGGGCTGTCCCCAATCCACAATACAGCTTGTCTAGGAAGGTGAGGAGGAGCCATAATGCCTGTGCCAGGGGCCCTTGGGAGATGTGAGAGACTGGGTTTTCAAAGGGGAAAAAAAGGCATGAGGGAGGACTGCGTGGAAGGGGTGCTGTCCGGTAGTTAGCGGGCGGAGTTTAAGGGTCAGTTGGTCCTGCTTCTCCCTCTCCATCCCGGAGGGGTTTGCTGCCCCCAAGGCCCTGCATCTCGCGGGTGCGATGCTCTGGGAATGCCCAGCGGGGAGATGGTTGTCTCGTCCCGGCATGCACATTCTGAGCGAGGCCATTTGCACTCTGAATCCCGAACTGCGAGCCCTTTGCAGCCAGATTGAGAGCACTACCCATTCCTGGCGCACCTCCGCCCTCTCAGGGCGCAGCCCGCCCGGGCCTGGAAAAACTAGAGTCCCCTTGCAGGGACGCTCACAGGAGCGCAGTGTCTCGGGTTGTGTGGCAAGGGGACCCGTGCCTCAGATCCTTCCTTTATCCGGGGAGAGCGAAGAGAAGGGGAGGGATGCGAGAGCGGGGAGGATCCCTGGAAGCAAGAATGCATCCTTAGCCGGTAGGTCTCCTGCATCTTTTGCCCCGGTCGCCCCTCGCCATGGCGTCTAAATCAGCCTAAATCAGCACTGGGGGACTTGGGCTGATTCCCATCTCGCCCTCAGACAGAAGGCAGCCCCACGCCTAACGCTCCTCCCCGGGGATCGGGCCTCCAGGCCCTCCTCCAGGCTCGCGCTGCTCTTGCCCCAGTGCAGCAAGAAGGGCAAGCGGTGCGCAGGGCTCCAGGGTGGGGACGGCCACCTGGGACACCTTTCCCGCCCTCCCACCATCCTCCCCAACACCACCCCTCCCTCAGTCCAGCTCGACCCGGGCACCTCAGAACTTTCTCCTGCTGGCCTAGCTTCCACTTGTCCCGGCAGACGCGCGTGGGGTCCGCGTCCGGCGCTGCCTGCTCCACGGCCCTGCTCCCGCGGTGCCCTGTTTCCTGTTCAACAATATAACCGGCGGAGAGCGCTCGGCAGAACTTCCTCCCAGGCTGGGGCTGGGCTGTGCTTGCAAGAGACAATCCCCGGTGTCCTGGCTTCCTGTCCCCTCTGGGCCGGGCCAGCGCTCCAGGAGCAAAGACGCCACCCTTCCCCCTCCTTCCCCGGGATCCTGGGCCACACCTGGCTGTCTCCAGGGAGGAGGCAGTGGCAGGGACTGGATGGAGATCTGCGGGGGAGGCAGTTTCTCTCAACTTCTGACCAGATTACATACACTCTTACTGACCCTCATCGTCGTAGGGGGGAGAGTCACCGTCCAGTATTCTGCAGGCAGCTGGAGTGTAGTTCTAGAGTCCTTGTGTCTTGAGAACCACCTGCCTCTTGGGAAAGCAGCCTTACCACTCTGAGCTGTGCCTGTGAACATTTCTGACAAGGGCAAGTCCCAGCACCGGAATACTTATTCTCGGTGGTCTCCTAGAAAGTGTGGGGTTCAACTAGGTCTCCACCCAGGAGCTGCGTAAGGCTCCTGAGCAGAGACACGGGAACCCTCACACCAGGCCTATGTCCCTCCAAGGCTGAAGGTTCGGCTGGACACACCCACCCCCATATTTTCTTGAACTCCCATTCCATATCTTTGACTTTGTTAGTCTTGTCCACTAATGAGTCCACATTGTGCCGGATATCTTAGGATTCACCAGAGAAGGCACGTAGCACAAGAAGAGGCTGAATGAGCTCTCTCCCTCCACCTACCTTGTCCTTCCCTAACTGCCCTAGTCACCAGGGCCAGCCAGCTAGGACCTTGTCTCGGGTACAGCAGCCTGATGCCCAACTCTGCCACAAGCTGGAGTACTGCTTTATTGGGTCTCAATTCCTAAACCTCACAGGGAAGGTTAAATAAGGTACACTAAACACAATGATGGTAAGCACATATACTTTATTATTTGTTACTTTCATTATAGGAGGCACTTTCTGGGGATGAGAACTCGTCTTCCCACCCTGTTCTAGTCAGGAGAGGAAGGGGAAACTGCCCCCTGTGCCGGAGGAGGAAAGACTGAGACAGATGGAGCAACATCAGCTCAAGGGTCCTCAGCATCAACTCCTCTCCCAGGCCTGCCTCCCCCACCCTCCAAATCCAGCTCCTCTTCTCTCTCTCTAGGTCCCTGGAGAAGCTGGCTCATAGATGGCCAAGGAGCACCCCACTCACTGGCTGAAGGTCCTCGAGGTCAGGAAATGTAGCCCTGGATGTTGTCTTTTTCTGTCCCATTTTCCTGCAACCTGTTTTCCCTAGGAATTAGTCTGTTTCCTTCTTTTGTTCTTACGGGCAGTGGGGGGCTTCTCCTGGAACCTCTGGGGAAGGGCAGCAGCAGACAGGTCTCTTGAGCCCTTACTCCATGAGTCCAGGAGCCAGGGCTTGCCCTTCTTGCTTGCCCTCTCTGAGCTCCTCTGCACACCCAGATTCCTGAGCTTTCACAGGTTAGGTGTGTGTGTGTGTGTGTGTGTGTGTGTGTGTGTGTGTGTGATCTGTGTTCAGGCATTTAAGGTGGAAGAGAGCTTCAGCAGTTATAGCCGAGTGGTGTAAATCTGAAAGGCTCCCACCTCCACCCAAATTCTGGAACTTACCTCTTCTCCCCTGCTTCTTTGGCTGGCAAGTGTACTCCATGGACCCTGAAATCCCCAGTGCCTAGGATTAAGGGGAGTGGGTCGGATGGCTGGTGTGTCCCCAGCAGCCGCAGGATTGAGATTCAGAAGCCAGACTTTGATTAGAAAGACCAGCTCTTTACTGCAAAATCAGTCAAACAGCACTGAAGCAGTGCCTTCTCTACATTGCCAAGGCCCACTTGTCAGAATATTGCATAAAATAACATCTCTTAAATAGTGTGGGCACCGCCGAGGTTCACGTGAGCTCTTCTGGTGGCGGGGTAAGTGACTCATTTGAGCACATCAGCAGCTTAGGAAAGGGTGAGGGCCAGCTCTAACGTGTACAGTCCAGGCAGTGGAAGGGATCCGGCTGCCTCAGGCAGGTTCTGGAATACTCTCATGTAACAAGCCCAAGGGGACAGACTCCTGCCCATTCAGGATCCAAAGCAAAGAGGCTCTGTCATTTTGGGGGAACTGTTAATGCTGGCTGTGGAGTGCAGATATGGATACACTGCGTGGTTCTGGAAGCTTTGGTTTCCCAACCTCTGGAGAGCGCCGTCTTCCATAATAGGGACTTATGAACTGTGTGGCAGCCTCTGCTACCTGCCTACTGCCTCCTCTGTTCTATTGCACAATTCTTCAAGCTTCAGGAGGTGACTCAGCTCATTCACCTTAGGGAGGGTGGGGAAACCTCTGCTCTAGACATGACAGGCACATTTCCAGGGAAGCCCTCCATTCCACCTGCAGCCTCTGGCTTTAAGTCAAGTACTCTGGGATAGCCAGAAGGGCTGCAGGGTCCAGGAGAGGTGGGGATAGCACAGTACATACCTATTCCCCTAAATGCCTTAAGGCTACATGAACATCACCTCGAGAACAATCCGGGATGCTATACCAGCCCCAAGAGCCTCTTAGGGGCAACTCTGCTCCTAGGAAGCTCACTAGTGTCCTGCTGTGTGCAAACCGAAGCTTTATGATCTCATGGCTTTGTGAGACTAGGGCTGATGAAGTTTCTACAGGGCAGCTTCTGTGCACATCCCTCTATCTCTCTGTAGCCAAAAGATGGCACCTATTCTGCACAGTTGGACCTTGGAGCCTCTCTGGTGTCTAGCCTATTCTACCCTGGCAGGGGTTAGCCCTATGACATTCAGGACTAAGGAGGGCATGGGGATGAGGTGGGCAAGATCACGGTCTTCCTGAACAAGGAAGGCTCAAAGTGCTGACAGTGCTGGTATTGGTCATCCCCCTGCTCCTGCTGTGCTGTGCTCCCAGGCCAGAAAGGAGCCAGGGGCTCTGCCAGAGGACAGGACACTTTCCAGGTGAGAGCACGAAGAGGGGAGGGGAGGTGGTCGCTGGAACTGACCAGCCCTGCAACGATGGGCCATTGGCACCTGACACTTGCACTCTTGGTAGTAAGTGCCAGAAAGGGCAAAGGAGAGGCACCCATCCAGAGGGCTGTCCACCCAGTCCAGAGGGCTGTCCACCCAGTCCCATGCCTGTCTCTGGGCTGGGGCTGCTCTTGCCCATCTGCTTGGGTGAAGGGTTGCACTTCTTAGGTGACTTGGGTAGGGTCAAGAATAAAAAAATATTTTCTGTTTAAATATGAAGGGGGGGGGGAACCCACCTTAAAAAACTAGACCTTTTAATCAGGAATGTGAGTTGAAAGTGCTCACCAAGCCTCATTCCACAGTGTATGAACAGCCCTAATGGAGGTGCCAAGACAGCTGATAAGCCAGGCCTGATGACAGGCACTGTGCAGAGGCACCTGGTGGGTCCCCACCTCCTGGAGCAGAAGGGTACTGAGGGGCCATGGGGCATCACTGGGACTTCCTGGGCCTTCTCTGGAGGTGAGAGCTCTGGGCACACCTGAGAGTCTTCCTTACAGGGAGACAGAGAGGCCTAGGCTGACGACAAACCCAGCTGGGTGGCCTCGGAAGGTCAGGACAGCAGGGTTAGCTGACCATGTTCTGTTCCTGGTACTTGCGCCGGCGGGCACAGCGGGGACAGCCCTTCCTCACCACAGCCTGGCAGCTCTGATGGAAGACAGTTCTGCATTCAGCACACCTGAGAAGAGAGCATCAGATGCTGCTACTGCAGTCATCTAGACGTGCCTGGGGCCAGGCTGGCCAGGGCCTCAGACAGAACCCCCAGAGAAGCTGTGTTCTGTCTGCAGCCCACACTCACATGCGCTGCCCTCCAATTCTCTCGGAAAGCACTTCAGACACTGAACCCCTTAGTGACCCCATGACCACTGATATTCTGTGTCCTACTTCATTCTTTGCAAGTGCTGCTTGAGGGTTTATGGGACTTCTTGCCTATCTTTAAAGCAGTTTAAACAGCCCAGCCTCAGGGTTGACACTGGCTGGTTTATCCACTGAAAGTGAGTGGATGATCCCCCTAGCTCAGCCTTCCACTTCTACTTGGAGTAAGGGAAGACTGGGGAATATACCCCTGTTCAGGGACTTCTAATGATGTGCAGGAATGAATGGCAAGAATCACCACTTACTGCAGCTGGGGGCATGGTAGGCACCAGCTACCAGGTGCCCACTTGGCTAAGCCTCATGCTAGTGCTCAAGGGCTAGGGATATCCTGTCAATCCCTCGACCCATTTGTAGACTGAGCTCAAAGACATCCCACTTCATGAGGCAGCAGCCATCTACTCTCTAAGGTAATGGAGGGGGGTGGCTGTGAGCCCAGGCAGCTCTGGGCAGTCACAGTATCCTGGGCACTGGCAGAGCAGAGTGGATGTTCGGCATGTCCCTGCATAAGAGGATGAGGGTTACCAGGGACGCCGAGTCAGACTGTGGTTGTAGGGGTAGCTGGTCATGTACTCCTCGTACCTGACAGTGGTGTCAAACTCAAAGGGAAAGATGATGTCGTGGTGGTGGCAGATCTGGCAGATGAAGCCTCGCTGGGTGCACAGGTCACAGTGGTAGACATGCTGGGAGGCGAACTCAATCAGGGCTTTGAGGAATCCTTCATACACCCCCTCTGCAATCTGCAGGAGCAAGTGGAGACCAGTCTTAGGTGGCTCCACTGCCACAGCACCTGCCTCAGAACTTCCCCGTTTCCACATGGGCAAGGAGAACTCCCTGTAACAGCCTGCACCTGAGGTCACTGGGGTGTGGGACCTACAGGTGGACCCCAGGCTGCTCTGTCAACCTTGGAGGAAAGGCCTCCACTCACCCTCGGGAGGCTGGAGCCTTTGGTTAGTCCAGGAGGTGGGGTCAATGACTGCTCAGGAGAGGACAAAGGGAGCCATTCTGAGGAGTGGACTGTTGAAGATTGCTGCCTGGCCTGAGTTAACCACAGGTGCCCCTTCTGCTATTTTTTTTTTTAATTTATTTAAAAATTGCATTGGAGTGCATTGGAGTAAAGGTGTCAGATCCCCTGGAAGTGGAGTTACAGACATGTGTGAGCCGCCATGTGGGTGCTGGGAATTGAACCCGGGTCCTCTGGAAGAGCAGTCGGTGGGTGCTCTTAACCATTAAGCCATCTCTCCAGTCACCCCCTCCTCTGCTATTTCTCTGAGATTTCTTCAGGATTAAGAACCTTCTAGTGTGTCCAGGATTTAGGGGTGGGGAATACGGCATGCTCACCTGCTGGAGGTCAGCAACACTGAATTTGTGAGGAGACTCCAAGAGATAATTCCTGTGGCTTAGCCTGCAAAGACAATACAAGCACTTCCTCAGAAGGGTGGGCTTCCAAGGCTAGACCTCCAGTTCCTTGTTTTCTTCTCCTCAGCCCTGCCTACCAGCCAGCAACACAGGTCTGGGTTACCAGGCAGACCAAGAGCACAAATCAGTCTGCCTGACTCCCACCTGAGTGCATTAGTTAGCCCCTGGTACCTGGGGCAAGTAAAGTGACCTCTGAACCTCAGGCATCCTCCTGGGAGACATGGAATTGTTTCGAGGATTAACTAATTTACTGAACATATCCGGTACACTGTAAACATGTGACTACCAAGTGATGAGGATGATGCATGCTGACACTTGGTACCCGGAACTGGGCTAAGCACCTAGTCTTTGTAGTAATCCTGTGAAGCCGGTCTGATTTTAACTCCCATTTTGAGAAGACAGGAAACACAGGTTAAATGACTTGCCTGAGGTCACAGAGTTAAGAATCAGAGCTTGAGCTTGAACATAGGAGTCTGTGCCACCACTGAAACAGTTTTGAGGACCCCCTCCCCCCAGGTCATGTTCAAGTATCTGGTTTCCCTGTCTCTGAGAGGAACTGATTCAGACTCCAGGCAAAGCAGACCCTATTTCAGGTGGAGGAGCAAAGATGAAGGGAGGACACCAGCCCTGCTCAGGTTCCTAACAGTGGTGAGGACCCCAGGTCACATCCCGAGGGAGGGAGAGAGAACATCTGCAGAAAATCTCTGGCCTAGAACCCGACTGACCATGTGTGTGGGCACTGGAGTGGAAGGTATGCCGAGCTGGGGAAGTGCAGGGTCCTATCTGGGTACTCTGGACATCTAGGAGAGGACAGTGCCAGGCCCCTGGGAGATTGGCCACGCCCTAGCCAATGGCCTCAGTTCTGATCCACAGGGAGTCCAATCTGGGGCTAGGATGGTGAATCCTACACAGCCAAGCGGGCTACCCTGAACCCTGGGGCTGAGGACTCCAGTTTGCCCCGGTGAACCTCCAGCTTTGTGTGAACAGGAAGCTGTCATTTACAGTCAGGAAAACAGAGGGGTACAAAGACTGGCCCTGAGTTGGCAGGAAGGGTGGGGCTGATCTGAGGGAGATTTATCCCTGTCATCTTCCCTTTGTCCAGTCCTAGGAGCCAGTGGGCCCAGGGCCTTCCTTGGGAGTCACTGTCCCCTTGGCCTGTCACTCCAGTGTGGCCTTCAACTCATTTTCCTGTAAGGTTTGGTCAAGGGCAGATACAGAGATGGACACTGCTGGTCCTGGGCCTCAGTTTCCCTCCCTACAGAATAAGAAGACCCCTCTCAGTGCTCTGGAGCAAAGTTAACTGGCTGAAGAAGGAGGCAGGGACCCTGCCAGGGCCAGGTGATGGGGAGCCTTACATAGGTGGCCAGGGATTTTGCCTGTTTCATATAAGTCCCACTCTTCGTCTGGCCACTAACTTCCTGGGAGCTTCCTAGCCTCCTGGCCCTTCTAGCTCCTGCCCAGGCTGGCTTGGGTACCCTTCCTGAGGACACATACACTGCTGACCCAGCCGTCTGCCTGCCTGTCTATGGCTGGTTACGGCCCAGACACTGAGGCTCTCATGTGGTCCTAACCACAACTCAGGAAGGCCATATAACCAAGACCAATGGTCCATCTTACGGATGGGTAAACAGGCTCAGAGCACCAAAGATACTTCCTGGAGCCACACAGTGGTCCAGGTCAGGCAGGGGCTGCTCCTATATTCTCCCTTGCTCTTTGCTTCCTCTAAAAGGGAACTTCCAGGGGGAAAGAATGCTTGCTGCACAGAAATTTGGACCTGAGTTAGGACTCCCCAGTACCCATGTAAAATGCTGGGGTGTGGCTGCAACCCCAGTGTTGTGGGGGGCAAAGAGAGGAGGGCCACTGAGACTCACTGGCCAGCCAGTCTAACCAAAAAGATGGCAAGCTCCAGGTTCAGTGAAAGACTGTCCCCAGTGAACAAGACAAAGAGCCACTGAGCAGGACAGTCCTTTGGCCTCTGCATTCACGTACATGGGTGGATGCAACCTCCCTTCCCCTGGCACACATAGAGCATATGTACACACATACAAATCAATTTTTAAAATAAAACAGGACTTTCACAAGCCTGGCCTGCTCTCTCAGAGCAGGGCTGAGCCAAGGTGGGGACAGGGAGTCAAGAAGATGGAGACAGAGACAGCTGCCTGAGCACCCGGCGGCGGCAGAGGCTGTTGGGAACAAGTCAGCAGGTAAGGTGAGAGAGCCAGGCTGCAGTCACCCAGCCACCCAGCCCTTCAGAGAGGGCAGTGAGACTTTTCTCCTACCCAGAGATTTTGCCCCTGGGCAGGTGTACACATTCTTTGGAGCCCTGGCCCCTGGAATCCCTGAGAGCAGAAAATGGGTCAACTTCACGGAAAACGGGAGACCCAGGTACTGGGCTGATCTTAGGTAGCAGAGCCCCCCAAAAGGCTGTCTGTTCTTCTAGGCCCTGTGGAAGGAGGTAAAGCTCTGGGGGGTTAATTGGCTGTTCTGGGCAGAAAAGGGCCAGTGTTCCCCTCTGCCCTACCCAATAGTCAGGAGATCATCACTGGACACACCTGTCCCCAAGGCACAGTGCAAGTAGGCCTCTGGGAGAACTGAAGTATGCCTGGGCCTGAGGAGACATGCTCAGACAGTGCTCTCTGGCTGGCCCCTAGGGAAGCAAGGCTAGGGAAGGACAGCAGCCTATAGGCACCTCTGGTCTCCAGACATCTAGCAAAGCAGACACAAAGTCCATATCGGGCAGTGCACCTCGCTCTTCTCCAAGGCCCAAAGAGAGTACAGCCCCTCAAAAGTCACACCTTCGGCCATGAGTTGGGGCCTGAGGTTTATAAGGCAGTCACAGAGAGACCTTATAAGACTATCCTGAAGTCCAAGGGCACCTCTCATTCCTTGAGCACTAGAAGATCTAGGCTCTGAGTAACAAGGGGCTTCTAGAGGGGTCTCCTGAGAGTGCTGCCAACTGTGCACGCTGTAGATGATCTAGAGGAAAGCTGCCAAAGACAACAGCAAGCAGCCGAGGGATGAGCCGGGCTAGCATCCTCCTCCGTTCTGCCCTTTACCGCTCTGCCCATCCTGTCCTTTAGCCAAAGCTCTCTCTGGGCTTTCCATGCATGGTGCTTTCCTCATGGTCCATGTGTGTCTCTCCTCAGCCAACCCTCTTCTTCTCCTCTGTAACTTCTGTTTGCTTTTTAGGCCTATTCAGAAGTCCCTCCCTCCAGAAGTCTTTCTGATGTATCTTCCTGACCTTCAGGTCAGATGTGTCTCTCTGTACATCTGGAGCATCCTTCCTCTAGCCCTCCCTTTGGCCCTGGTTGGAGGTGCTGCTGGCTGCCCTGCTTCCCGCCAGAGCAGTGGCTTCCTGAAGGGAGGCCCTCCATCTGCTTTACTCAGCACAGTATTCACCTACTTCTCCAGGCAACTTGGAACAGTTGTTCTCAATAAACATTTGTTAAACAAATGAATGAATGAACGTATGAACAAAACCACACACCACCCTCAAAGGATACAGTGATTTAGCCCAGTGGGAAGTTCCAGCTCAGCTCTGGCATCTTCCAGGGACACACTGCCCAGGCTTTGGCTGGTGTGTGTGCACACAGGTGCATGTGCACATGAAGAGTGCTCACCTTTTGCTCAGCTCCTTCAGGGCACCACTTCTGCACAGGCCTAGGTAGTCCCCCAGAAGCTTCAGCTGTTCCCGGCTCCTGCCAATGAGGTGCATGCGCTCCACATGCTCATACAGAGAGGCGTTCACCAGCTGCAGGTTGATAAGGGGCTGGGCCCGGATCTGTGCCAGGAACTTCAGGGCCTGCCGGCAGACCTGGAAAAATCCAGGGAAGACCTTGCCTGCTTAGCCAAGGCTTCCGGCTGGATGCTGTGTTATCTAGTTCAAACCTGCCTGCAGCCTGTTCCCACTGAATGGTACTTTCTTCAAGTTACAGACCAGGAAAGAAGGTCAGAGAATTGAGGCCACTTAAGCAAGGTCACACAGCTCAGAAAACAGTCTAGTCAATATCTGAAACCAGTCTGACTCTCCAATCCTGTTGTTGTCCGACTCTGACCACGCTGAGACAAGGGAGGGGTCCCCTCCCCACAGGCCTCACAGACTCTCCACACTTTCCTGTCCTCCCAGCCCCCCTTTCCTGCCTACAGGAAACATGCTGTCCTCTGGGCCCTAACTCAGGAACCAGGTGACTCCGCTGCCATCAAGCTCCAGCTACAGGAAGCTACAGAGCAGAAAGAGCTCCATGACATTGCTAAGTGCCCTCAGCTCTTGCCAGTACTTCAGGATAGTCTTACTGGGTCTCAACTGCCTGTGCTCCACACGTGGAGATGAGTGATTCCTTTATATTCTCTCATCTTCAGAACCATCCCCGGGGAGAGGTAGCAGTGCCCGTTTCACAGATGGTAAAACAGCCCGGAGAAGCTAAAGTGGCTCATCCAACTTGCCTGTGGATGGCAGAGGCCAGCAGGCATGGTCTCTCAACACGGGGCTGCCATAAACTCTGCTTCCTGTGGCCAAGAGCTAAGGTTTGCTAAAGGAAAATCGAAGCACACTTCATGACATTGAGTTTACATTAAAAGACATAAGCTTTGGCACAGGGCCTGACAGGCTGCATGCATATCCTCAGTAAATGAAAGCTGCCGCTGCCACAGTGCCAGAGCCCGAGGGGCAGGGCGTGCATAATGGGATCCTCAGGAGAGCACCCACATACTCGGGGCCAGAGGGACCCTGATCCTGTCTCCCAACTGTCAGCAGCTATCATCTCCCCCAACAATAGATAACTGTATTTCCCATGTGCCTGAGCCCCGAGCTAACAGCCCCTAGTCTAGGCAAAGCACAGTGGCAAACCCTGGTGACTGGGGTCAAATTGCTACCCTCCAGACTGAGCCCAGCTCTTCCCACAACTCAGTCACTGGCTCTAGGCAAGGTTCAGCTGAAACAACATCCAGCAATATGTGCTAAACACTGCCTAGCCCTGCACACGGGGCTTCATGCTCCCCATAGGCTGTTTGTATCCCATGGGCAAGACGGGCCACAGCAGAACCCTGGCTCTGGGCTGATGTTCTGCCATGATGCCAGCTGGATCTCAGCACAAGTGGGTCAGCCAGTGCAGCAGCAGCAGCAAACAATGAAGTCCCCAATCCTTGGGCCAACTACTCTCTGTTTTGAATTTTCCTGTCTTTCCCAAGCCAGTGATTGCTGGGGGAGAACTGGCTGTTTCCTGGTCCCAGAAGCATCTGGAACAGGACTGCAATGTCCCAGTGAGGGAAAAGATGAGGCACAGAGATTCCAGCAGTGAATGGGGCGCTCCACAGAAGTACCAGGCTGAGTGCTCTTTTACTGTTGAGGGGCTCGTGTGCATCTTTGAATTTTAAGGTTTACGTTCCTCTTTGTAGTTGAATAGTCGATACTGAGGGCAAGGGTGGAGACAAGGTAAACAACAGAAGGCCAAAGCAAAGCCAGTGTTGGGGTTTCCCCTCACCACAGGGGTGAAACTGACTCAGAGACACCATCCCTGTATGGTGGGACACATCCAAAATCAAGACTGTGCAGCCCACAGGCTCTGACAGAAGCAAACAGCTCCTTCTTTGGGTTTCTAGGTCCATACCCTTGGGAGAAAGCCAAGTCTGTTCTCCTGGAGAAAGACTCTGGGTAAGTGGCCCTAGGGACGGAAGTGTAACAGCTTGTGAGGAAAGAAAGGCACTGTTGACAGGCACTATGAGACTCTCACAAGCAAGCAAACAATCTCCTCCAGAAGTATACATGATAGAGGTACCTAAGGGCCATCCAAGAGGGCTCAGTAGGTAAAGGGGTCTGCAGCCAAGCCTGATAAGCCAGTTCAATCCCCAGGACACACATGGTGGGAAGAGAACAGACTAGTGTTTGCACATACCGTACACACACACACACACACACACACACACACACACACACACACACACACACACACACCCCTACACACACAGTAATAAAAAAAAGTACCCAAGATATAATATTAAATAAAATGTGCTAAAGCAAGGTGATCCAGATACTTATGTAAACAAATACACAGAAAAGGATATCTCTCAAAATACTTTAAAAATTAGCATGGCCATTTTATAGTCGAAAACACTGATGCTCAGAGGTTAAAAACTCTGAACAGTGGTTATCCTCAACGATAACTGCTAATTTTGACTTGTCTTTTTGGGCTTCTCTAAGTTGTAGGTGTGAAGTAATAACCATCCGCATGACCTAGAAAAATGCTTTCTCTTCCCCGCAGTCACGTGCAGTTGGCTTGGCCTCAGAGGAGCAGCATAAGCAGAGCTGTCTAAGAGGTGCAGCCTGCTGGCTAGCCCCTTTAGCTACTACCCACCCATCTGTATGTCAGTCCATCCATCCACCAGTGTAGGAAATCTACTCTCCTAACTTTCCCACTGACCAACCTCACTACCAGTGTTTTAAACAACTCTGTTGCTAGCTTAGCTTCAGGAACTGTCCTGAGGTGGCCACTGGGGACCAAGGCAGAGTTTTACAAAGTCCTGTTCATGGGCTGCAGACAGACACCAAGCTTTCAGTCCCACATCTCAGGGCCTGAACCGGTGACTCTGGCTTTCCTACAGCCACAGTCCTCCAAACAGGCAGCCTAGGGGAGAATGTTTCTCAGTCACAGAGCAGCTCTGTGTGACCAATGACAGCCTGGCCTGGGGACTTACCGGGCGCTTGGTGAGGTCCCAGTTGTGGATGATCCTGGCTGGAATCACTGAGGCATCGTCTTGGTGGCAGAAGTCACAGTAATACAGGCCAGAGAAGGCACAGAGCTTGGGTCGTACAAAGGAGAAGCCAATCTGACGTGAGCAGCCTAGGGGAATGGATGGTGGGTGAGTGAGTGGTGGGCTCAGAGGCAGCTTCATGTAACATGGAACCGGCTACAGTGGGAAAGGCCTGCTAGTATAAAGATAAGAACAATCACAATGGGCTGGCCAGATGGCTCGGTGGGAAAAGGCACTTGCCACCAAGCCTGATGACTAAAGGACTGAGGTTTGATCCCTGGAACCCACATGGTAGAAGGAGAGAACTGAGTCCTCTGACCTCCTCTTTCTCTTAATAAATATACAATTTTTTTAAAGCACTCATATTTCCACCACTTAAAATAATTTTTTTTTTTTTGAGACAGGGTCTTACTATTTATGTAGAACAGGCTGGTCTTGAACTCAGAGAGACCTGCCTGCTTTCCGCCTCCCAAGTGCTGGGATTAAAGGCCTGCACCATCACACCTGGCCAAACTGCTGATTATGACAGCATACTATTAAACAATGATTGCTGGGTCTGGGAGGGAGGCCGAGGGAGGAGGATTGTGAGTTTGAGGTCAGCTTAGGGTTACACAATAAGAACCTGTCTCAAAACAAACTCACAGGAAGACATCTGTCAGGCCATGCCAAGACAAGCGATAGGTGGCACTCAAATTTGGGCTCGGATGGCCACAAAGCCAGCATTCTCTACAGTCACCTCTGTTCACGGGCTCCATGGCCTGCTCCCCAATGCCAACCTGTACTCCTACAAGAGCAACAAGGCGAAAACCTTGACCAGCAATGATGGATCTTTGGAAAGAGGTCCAGCCACAGAAGTAGCTGGGAAAGCCAGCAGGAACAGCATGACCCAGACATAACATGGAGTCCACTGAGTCTCTAGTAATGTATCTCAGGACAGTGGGCAGTGACAGCCTTAGCCACTTGGTCAGTGATCTCTCCATACCAGAGAGCATCAAGAGTCAGGAGTGCCCAGGGCAAAAAGCTAACATCCAACTTAAATGCGTAATCACCCCCTGCCTCCCACTGGCATGGGTGTGTGTGAGTGGGGCACACGGGGTGGGGGTGGTGGGGGGAGAAGAGGTGCCTTTGGTCTCACAACCAAAGAGCTGGCTTTCTTGCTGATCAGCTGCCTCATCTTGACCTTCACCTAACTTTTCTAAGATTCTGTTTCACTATATAACTTAGCTACTGCCAGCTATTTTGTGAGGTCATGACAAAGTGTAAATAATGCAAGTGCCCTGTAAACTATGAGTTTTAACACAAGTATCACTGGTTGGCATCTTCCTGGCCACAGACAGGGCAGCAATACAGAAAGTTCCCTAGGTTTACAGGTCTCAGATGGGAGGCTGGCAGGTGACAGTCACAGGGAAGAGTTCTTCTAGTACTCACACCTACGGACAGGAGCCTCCCCCATAAGAGCAGAGTGTGAGTGCTGGGGCAGGCAGAGGTTTGCAGGCAGAGGTTTGCAGGGCTCTGCTCAGCCCCTTCACCCACCCTCCTGGGGCTTGCCACAGGCCACTTCCTTCCAGGCACTTGAAGCGGGCTTTCCTCTATGGTCCCATGGGCTCCACCCCAGCAGGACAGCTCAGCTTTCTGCTCCATTCTTCCGCAACAGGGCAGCTGACATCTCCCCTGGACAGCTGACATCTCCAGGGGGTGGGTGGGAAGAGGTACCAGTGGAAGGCAGACAGTGGAACAGCATGAAACTGGGGCCCTCTGGTGTCATGCCCATGAACACAGGTTCTGGAACACAATCATCAAAGTCCAATTCTGCCTCTTGCATATACTAAGAGCCTGAGACAAGATACTAGCTTTGGGCTCCAGTTTCCTCACCAATACTATAAGCAGAGAAAATAGTAGCCCTTAATTCTACAAGAATATACTGAGCAAAAAAAAAAAAAAAAAAAAGAATGAGATAATCCAAACGAAGTATCTGGCTTTGTGCCCTGCACAGGATCAGATCCCTCCCATGATACTGACATAGCAGAATCCTTCACATAGAACAATATGTATATGAAAAAAGGACAGAAAAGCCAACTAGGTGTGATGACAGATGCCTGTAATCCCACTACTCAGGAAGCTGAGGCAGCAAGAATTCAAGACCAGCTTGAGCTACACAGTGAGACTCAACCTCAAAAAGAAAGAAAGAAATTTGTGTGTGTGTGTGTGTGTGTGTGTGTGTGTGTGTGTGTGTGTGTGTGTGTATGTGTGTGTGTGTGTGCAGCAGCACCTGTCTATAATCCCAGCACGTAGGAAGGCAGGAGGATTGACCAAGAGTTCAAGGTTCTCTTTAGTTATATAACAAGTTTGAGGCCAGCCTGGGCTATATAAGACATGAGGGAAGGATGAGCACCCAAACTGTGGAGCAATATACTGCCCAACACAGTGGTTCAAAGCCAGAGGTCATCTTTAAAGTTAAGTAAATGGAAAACTCAGTTCTTAGTCATACATAGTCACACTTTAAGCATGCAGTGGCCACATGTAACCTGTAACTACGATTGGAAAGCACAGACCCAGACGCTTTCATCATTACAGAAGCCCTACTGGACAGCACTGGGCAGCATGTCTTACAAAAGTATGCAAGCATACATGCTTTGAAAGAATCCTATATCCCTTGCAACAAAAGTATATTCAGTGTAGCAATAATATAAAGCAGGAAGGACAGAAGGGCTCAGGAAGCAGAACTGCCACCCACAGGTCCACCCAACATTAGGAGGTGTCAAGTGACACGGCAGGGGGCTGTCCACAGGGGCTGCAGGCGCTACCTGCTGTATCATATATGGGAAGGATGAAGGCCCTGGTGGGGAGCCCAAACTGAGGACCCCACAGGAAGAAGAGCATAGCCAGCTAGGGTTGGTGGGAGAGTCAGTCAGCACCTGCGCAGAAGCAGCCCTGGGAGTCAAGGCCCTTCTCAGTGGGGATGGCCACAAGGTACTGTAGCAGGAAGCCATTCTCCCTGGTGGCAAACTTCAGCACCTCCTGACAGTTTTCATCCAGACTTCCCCCGAGTGTCACAGCCTCCTCAGCTGACTCCAAGTAAGATGCCAGCACCTTTCGGACCAGGTCTCTCCACAGGGCGGCCTCCTCAGTGTTCTTGGCCTGCAGTTTCAGGACGGCTTTGGCCGTGATGATTTTGAAGAAGGCTGGGCCCCCAAGGCTGGTGTCTGGCAAGATGTCTCGGATGGTCTCCACTCCATGACTATCACTTAGCATCTTCTCATTATTTCTTACACGGAAACATTTTAGAGACTCCAAGGACAGGGAAAAAATGTAGGGGACCCAGGTCCGGTCTGTATACAGGTACAAAAGGGACTCTTTGATAGCATCTGGCTCTGGAACCTGAGCAGATGTCCAGTCCAACTGCATGCCCTGGCCACCTGCAGGCTCTGGGAGCAGGGCTGAGTGAGGGGGGAGGCTGTCTGGCGGAGCCTCTAGGCCATCCTCAGGTTGGTCTGGGTACTGGATATTCACCCACTCATCCTCCTGCTGAGGACGCACCTTCTGCAGAGCCTCCCGCACACGGTCAAGCCAGTCTTCAGCCTCGTCCTGGGAGGAGGCACGCAGTGCCAGCCTCTTGCCAGAGAAGACCAACTCAAATCGTCCATCATTGTGGGCTGGCCCCACAGCCTCACATCGTAGCAAGGAGCAGCTCTCCACACAGGTGCGCTCCTCATCACTCAGGTAGAGGCGGAGTTCCAGAGGGGACAGCTCACAAAAAAATTCCTTCCAGATGCCCATGGCCCCTCGCCGGGCTACTGTGCCCAGCTTCATGAGGCCCCGGAATGGGTTAGACAGGCCTAGTGGAAGAAAAGAAGCACTTTAGACTATGGGCCTGTCCCTTTATAATTCAAAGCCACAACTGGTGCCCAGTGTCCTTCCATGGGAGAGTGACTGTCATTAGAAAGTGGCCACAAGCACTTTCAAACGGGACCCTGAAAGCTAGATGGAGTGCTTTTGCGAATCTCCACCTGCCATCCCCACAGCTGGTGACCTCCGCTCCAACATTTCACTGAAAACATGTAAGTGCTCAGACTCCTCCATGGGCCTCCTCACTGCATGGCCCCTCTCAGCATCTGTACCCACACTGGCTAACTGCCTCTGCTGAGGCCAATCCCTCCCCTGACCCACTCAAGGACATCTCTCCAGCAATTCTCCTCCTCTCCAATATTGCCCCTTCTCCTTTCTCTACTGGATCATTCCTTCAGCACACATGTTGCTGTCTTCCTTCCAGGCTTAAAAACTCCTTTTCTCTTGACTCCACCTTTAACTACCACCCTGCTTCTTAGTCTCCTTTCCCAAAACCCATGAGGAACACCCAAGCATTGTCTCTGGCTTCCCTGCTCCCATTCCTTCTTGAACCTGGTCCCATTAGGTTCTCATCTCCTCATGCCATTACAACTGAGCCTCTGAGGGTCACCAAAGCCTACCTTGTCAATCCAAAGAGGCCTCCCTAAAGCCCTCACTTCTAGCCTTCATCTCCCCGACCCCTAAGCCTGAAGCACTCGGGGCTCAGTACTTGGGCCTCAGGTCCATGGCCACCCGCCCCCTAGCTATTCTCACCTGCGTTCAGGGATTTATGTGAACACATGCACACGCAAGTAAATAATACTAAAATAATATATGTTTAAATTAGCCAGGTCATGAGATGCTCAGAACCAATGCCCAAGCAGGTCCTGTGGCCCATGGGCCTCAGTCCCACACACCTCATGCCTTCATACTACCATTCCCAGCTCCCATCTACCCTGGTTACCATGGCCCCCTGGACATGTCAAGTCTGAACAGAAGGGTGCTATTAACCCCTTCTCCTGATTGAAATGCAGATCACTTCATGTGCCCTCTTTCACCCTGAATGTCACCTCACCTGTAAGGATGTCCTGGTCAAACCCTAACAAGACTTGTCCCCCTCTGAGCACCATGGATGGTTCCCCATCATCACCATTGACCATACAACATTTACTGGTCAATTTCCCTATATTCTGATGGGGGAAGCGTAGGAAGGTTCAGGAAGATAGGACACTGTTCTATGCACCTAGGGTAGTGCTCGGCACATCATAGAATGTACCTGGCACATTCAGAACTATCTACTGCATTAGTGTGTGGTTTGGTAAGTGAGTGAGTACCTGTGTACCTCACACTGCTCATTGTTCCCAACTCCCCAGGAACCACCCCCCAAGCAGGAGTCAAAAAGACACATGATTCTCTCTTCCAGTCTGGACTAGAGTGACAGGGAACAAACAGCCTTAATCATGAAGCACTGATTGATTCTCTGTGGTTAGAGATTACAGTCCACCATGAGAGACAAGCCCAAGAGAAGCCAACACAGAGACCAGGGCTTTGGTAAGTCCTCTGCTGACTGCTTACCATCAGAAAATGAGAGAGAGAGAGAGAGAGAGAGAAAGAGAGAGAGAGAGAGAGAGAGAGAGAGAGAGAGAGAGAGAGAGAGAGACAGAGACAGAGACAGAGACAGACAGAGAGAGAGAGAGAGAGAGAGAGAGAGAGAGAGAGAGAGAGAGAGAGAGGGAGAGAGAGAGAGGGAGAGAGAAAGAGAGAGAGAGAGAGAAAGAAGAGAGAGAGAGAGACCAAGACCAACCTCAAGCGAAATCTGTGGGTATGGTGACTCATGCTTTTAATCTCAGTATTCAAAAAGCTAAGGCCAGAGGATTGTGATGAATTTGAGGCCAATTTAGGTTGAGCAGTTGAGTTTCAGGTCAACCTGTGCTACAGTGTGAGACCTTGTCTCAAAAATAAAACAAAAACAAAACAAACAAACAAACAAAAAACCAGCTGGGTGTGGCAGTACAGGCCTATAATCCCAACACTCAGAAGACAAAGGCAGCTGAGTTTGAAGCCAGCCTGGTCTACATAGTGAGTTCCAGGGCAGCCAGAGCTATATAGTGAGACCCTGTCTTGGAATAACAAACAAAAACCAAACCAAAACACTCTGAGTGTTACTGAAAAATTAGTTGAGGATTATTTAATACTTTCTGGAATTTTCAGGGTGTGGAGATCAAGCCATACCATAAACAGCACGTAGAGAGCTGACATTCACAGCAGGGCTGATAAAGCCTGCTAGGGCTGTTTCTTGAACCATCCAAGATAAAGGAGCCATTAGAACAGCGGGCCTTCAAGGACAGGTTCTCCTCTGAGTTATGGAAGGAATCATGGGCTCTCTGCAATCCTAAATGTCATGGTTTCGTCTTCCACAGAACTGAAGACTGAGCCCAGGGCTTCACACCTCAGGTCAGTGTTTAACCACTAAGCTATATCCACAGTATGTCATTTTACTTTTTTGAAATAAGTTTATGCTAAGTTCCCCAAGCTGGCCTTGAACTCACTCTGTGTCCTATGAACTTGAGATCCTTCTGCCTCCACCTACTGAGCAGCTGAGATTCTAGGTCTATGGTACCCAGCTGGGCTTTGCTGTCCTAAATTTCATTGACAATATTTCCATTTCAATATATGACATAAGCTAGGAGTAGTGGCGCACACCTGTAATCCTAGGACTTCAGGGGCTAAGGCACAAAGATGGCTGTGAGTCTGAGGCCATTCTCAGCCACAAAGTAAACATTATGAAAGCCGGGGCTACAGAGAAAGAGCCGTCTCGAAAGACCAAAAAGGCACCTTTAATTTTGTGATCATGTCTTTGTTGGTTCTTGTTTTTCTGAGGCACAGGTGGCCTGGCTGGCTGGTCGTGCTGAGCCTCCTGAGTGCGGCATCCTGTAGGCAGTTCTGACACTGCTCTAGTGGACTGTGTAAACAAGCACAGCACCTTTCCGGAAGTGCTTTCCTGTCTGTCTACGTGTCCCCTTGCTTCTACCCTCTGGAAGGACACACCACCTGTTTGCAATGGCAAAGAGGACTGAGAGCTGCCTCTTGAAAGACACTGTCCCTGGGGACGGGACTCTACAGAGACACCTACCCATCTGCCTCCGATGCACCACGCAGAAATTTTTATGATCTTGTGCCAGCAGGGCTGCTGGGGCTGCTTTGGAATTCCTCCAGCCTGGTGAAGGCACACATGCTTTGTCTAATGCCCCCAGGGAACAGCTCTTTCTTGGTCCTCGAGAAAAACACCTATGGAGAGCAGGCCTTGACTCTGGAGTCCCTTGCAAAGGAGATGTGGAGAGATTAGAAGCACTCTTGGGAGCATGCTCCTGGGGAGGTCGGCAGAAGTCATCTTCAGAAATCCAGCTCTTGTTTTTCTATAAGAAAAAAATAACAAGGCAGTCTTTTAAGAGTTTAAAAATATTTTGTTACAGTTCACATACAATAAAATTAAAAATATGAGTGTATATGGGGCTGCAGAGATGGCTCAGAGGTTAAGAGCACTTGTAACTCTTGCAAAGGACTGAAGTTTGGTTCCCAGCACCCACAGTGGGTGACTCCCAACCCCCTATAACTCCAGCTCCAGGGAATCTGATACTCTCTTCTGGCCTCCGTGGACATACACATACACACTTACATAGGTAAAATATAACTTAAAAAAATGGGTGTGAAACTCCATGTCTGGTATACTCACAGAGATGTATAACCATCTAAGTTTAGAATATTTTCATCACTCACAAAACAAACAAATTCCCTACCCACTAAGAGATGTGTCTATCTCCCATGGCCCCTTTCTTGGGCATACACCTAGGAGTAGAATTGGTAGATTATGTTAAACTCCCTATTTCACTTGAGACTAGCCCGCTGTTCTGCAAAGTGGCCATACCACTTTACATTCCCATTAGCAATGTATGAGGTTGATATTACTAGGGAGGGAGGGTGTGCGCATGGAGGTCGGGATACTTTAGTCAGTTTTCTCCTTCCGTCTTTATGTGGGCTCTGGGGATCACACTTAGGTTGCCAGGCTTGAGTGGGAAGCACCTTTATTACCTGCTGAGCATCTCACCAGCCCTCCAGCTTCCTTCCAAACTCTCCAACCTCTGTCATTATGTCTTTCTGCCATGTTGACCTGTGAAGTGCTGTCTTACTGTGGTTCTGATTTGCATTTCCTTAATGTCTAATGTCAAGAGAACATCTTTTCATACTGGTTATCTCTACCTTTTCTTTGGATTTTTATTTTTAATTGGGTTTATGGTTTTGTTGTTAGGGTTGACTTTTGCCCCCAGCCCCAGAAGACCTGCTGAAATCTTAAGCCCTCAGAATGTGATCTTTAGATAGAGTCCTTGCAAATGTAATTAATTCAGATGCACCTGTATTGGAGCAGGATGAGCCCTTCATCCAACACGACTGATGTTTGTATAAGAAGAGGAGACAGTGTCACATGCCTTTAAATCCAGGACTCTGGAGGCAAAGACAATCTCTATGAGTTAGGGCAGCCTGGTCTGCATAGTGAGTTCCAGGCTAGACCCTGGCTCAAAACCAAAGAGAAAAGGAGATGACACACACAGAAGAAAATGTCAACTGGAGGGAGAAGCATGGGACCACGGAGGGAGGGAGCAGAGTGATGCACCTACAAGCCAAAGAATGCAAAGAATACCAAGAACTACAGGAAGGACAGGGAAGAGGCTCCTCCTCAGAATCTGCAGAAGGAAGCAACCCCTCGGACATCTGGCTCTGGCCTCGGCTTCTAGTACAACTGAGGAATACACAGCTGCTGTCTTAAGCCATCTAATTTATGGTACTTTGTCAAAGCTGTTTAGGAAACCAGTACAAGTTACAAGAGTTCTGGGCAGATTCTGGACACCAGAACTGTATCAGGCTATCTGACTGACCAATAATTTCTCCTATTCTACATTGTTTTTTATTTTTTTTCTTTATCCCTCTCCCTCTTCCTCTCTTTTTGAGACACTATAGCCAAGGTTGGTCTAGAGCTTATGACATAGCCCAGGCTAGCTATGGACGAGCCTCCTGCCTCAGCCTCTCAAGTGCTAGGACTACAAGTCCCCATGCCCAGTTTCTGTTCTCCTTCTTCATGGTGCCTTCTGGAGTGCAGAGAGGTTTTAATTTCAAGCCCAATTTCGCCAGTTTCCCTGTCTGCACTCCTGCTGTTTTATCTCAGAAGCCACTGCTGAAACTAATGTCACCAAGATGTACTCCTACGTTTTGCTAAGAGCTTTATTAGCGCTTACATCTCTGTGACCCATTTTGAGTCAACTTCTGTGTAAGATGTAAGGAATGGGTGCAACTTGATTCTCGTGCAGGGGAAATACAGGTGTCCCAGCCCTTCATGCTCTTTGGTCTTGGAGGTTTGGAATGAGGGAGGTGTGGTATGTGGGGTTTAGTCCTACATTATTGCTTCTAATTCTGTTCCCTACATTGAGAAGGTTCTTGAAGCCCCTAGCAGGGAGATACTCCCCCTCCCCCAATCTACAATGTGAGTCCGAGGATGCTCACTGACAAGGGAAGTTGGGCATATCTGGAGGCAGTCGGCCTGTGAGAATATTGCTTAGTTCCTATTTTTCACTACTGTAAGCCCTTCTGCCTTTCTGTGCTGGAAAATGGAAGAGCAGAGGCAAGGAAGCGGCTGGTTGCACTGGCTGTCTATACAAAGGAAATGAGTCACACAAGGGCAGGACCCGCACCACTGCTCTGTTAAGTGCTACCAGTCTTACTCTGACACTGCTATTTCCAACCCCTAAATCAAGACTGCCTTCCCTGCTGATGTAGACCAGGAGGAGGGCTCAGGCTGGGGCTGCGTCAGAGGGTTCGTTTGGACAGTTTAACACATTCAGATGGGATAAGACTCCTGAGGCCAAGAAAGGCAAGTTCTGATTTGGGCACTTGGGGGAGCTCTCCAGAACTAGGCCCCCAGGGCCTCTTCATGTGACTTTCAGAATTGGCAGGTGCTTCCTTCTACTAGGGACAAGATGATGTGTCAGTCAGGGTGGCTGCTAGGGACCATGCAAAACTGATCTAAACAAAGACTGTCTGGATCACCAAGACCCAGATGATTCCCCGAGGAAAATGGGTGTGAGGAATAGCTCCCAGGAGCCACCTGGCCATCCTGGTGACCTCACACATACCTGGGGATCTTGCCCTGTGCAAGCCCTAGGAGGAGAGGGCACTATCCCTTAGGATTCCATCAGGGTCACCTCTCACCATCTGGAACCCTCTTCACAAGTCCCCTGCTCACGTCCTCTCATCTCCCAGGCAGCATATCACCCTATCTGGTGATATCCTCTGCTCACCTCCATCCTATAAGGCTGTTCCAAACTATCATTTTTCTTGATAATGTCAAGCAAAAATGCACGGCATTGAGTCATAAAAGATAGGAGACTATTTTCATTTGCACAAGTGTGTGAACAGCCCTGTGGAGTCAATTCTCTCTATCTACCTATTTGGGTTCCAGTGATCAAACTCGGGTTTCTAGACTTGTGTGGCAAGTATTTTGACTCACTGAGCCATCTTCCAACCCAAAGGACTAACTCCTGACTACCCAGATGTCTTCATTGTAAAATGACGGAGGTGGGTGGAAGGATCAGGAGGGCGGGAGATGACTGGATTTATAGGTAGGGGGGCTTGCTTCTCTATCCACTGAGGAGAGAGAGACTACTAAGAAATGTTCAGAGTCCCCTGACCTCAAAGCAGTAACCGAGAGATGATTCTCTAGAGAAAGGCTCTGTTCTTCTCAAACCACAGTGAGAAACCGTGGGGGTAGGTTCCATTGAGAAAGCACTGAAAGTGTATCTGCCTCATGGGGTGGGATAGAGAATACTAGAGCAATAATGGATCATGGCAATTGCATGATCACTCTGTTTCCCTTTTCTCTTGCCTTGTCTGCCACCATCCCATGTCTGCCTGCTCAGGGCCTCACATCTAGCCAGCTCTGTTCCTTTAAACTGTGAGGAGATCACCACTGCCTGGGATCTACATCAGAGCAGCATATGCCAGAGAAATGCTGCCTTGCATTATTAGGTGTCAGGAGGCTATGCTTAAGGAAGGCAATGGTCTCTGGATGATTTTCAAAGGGACTGGACTTTCTGCTCAGGCTGTCCTCATTATGCCAGGCAAGGGGCCTGTATGTACAACTGCAGGAGGGGATCCCATGGCACAAACAGATAGTGTGTGGGACAGTGATTAGGCTTAGTCACCGCCAGGAGCTCCCCCACTCCCTACACCCTTCCTCCTCAGCATTTAGCTCTAGTGTAATTATAATGTACACCATCAGTTGTCTAATCTGGTGACTGTCCCCAAAGGCCAGGGCTCTTGTCTGTCCTGTTTCATCACTGTGTCCCTATCATGGTGCTTGGCTCATAGTCAATGCTTTATGTTGAATGACTTACAATAAAACGTTTGAAAGGCTGAATGGTTCTCAGGACTTTAAAAGCTTGATGGTGACTAGACTACTTCTGTCGTCAACAACAAAAGACAACCAAAGAGGGAATGGTGAATTCCACCTCTAAACAGGTAGAACAGATAACAAGGACAGTCATGGGGACGGTGCTTTTCAGACCCGGGGGTCAGAGAAGGCTGGGACAGTGCTGAGGCACAGGGGACGGTCAGGAAGGGTCCAGGCACAGGGGACGGTCACTGTAAAAGCTGGAGCCTGTAAGGACCTTGCTTTACCTAGGGAGCTGACAGGAAGCCAGAGGGTCAAAACTCTGTGGACGGGGAAGAATTATGTTGAGAGGTCAGCTACCCAGTCCCATCATCTCTGGGACCCTGACAAGGTACTATGTCTGTGATGAAGTACTATGTCTGAGCCTGCAAAGCAGAAGTCAGACCCTCAGCAAGGGTGAACTCAGCATGGTCAAGGACACACTTGGGAGCTCAGTTGGGACACAGACAGCCACACTTCTTAAAGCATCCTTCTCTCTGCAGTTTGAGGCAGGAGCTGCAGACCTTCCAACCTTCATCATACCTTCATGATTGCCTAGTTAAGGCCTCATAAAATGCATCTTCCAGAAGTAAATCTGGAACCATCTTCAGAATGGTAAATACAAAGAATCTGACTCAGTTATACAATTACATGGTTTTCATAGTCATATTCAATACCTGGAGCTGGATAAAGCTGATGTTCACATAGAAAACTATAAACTGGAGCCAGAGAGGTGGCTCGGTGGGTAAGGCACTTGCAGTCAAGCCTGGCGACCTGAGATTGATCCCCAGAAAACACAGGTGGAAGGAATAACTGACCCCCAGAAGATGTTCTCTGACCTCCATTTGTGTGCTGTAGCACACTTAAGTGGCCACATGTACTCTTGCACATGCACACACACACTCAATCAATAGATGTAAGTAAATAAACAACAAATTGACTGCTACTTCACACCAAGCACAGGGAAGTGAAAGCAGGAGAATCAGAAATGCAAAGTCATTTTAGGCTTAGTACATGATCAGCATGAGGCCAGCAGAGTCTAAAAGAGACCCTGTCTCAAAAATCAGAAAACAAAACAAAACAAAACAAAACAAACAAAGCACATGAATTCAAGTTAAGAATGGGCTGCAAGGGTGGCTCAGTGGTTAAGAGCACTGGCTGTTCTTCCAGAGGACCCTGGTTTGATTCCCAGTACCCACATGGTGACTCACAACTGTTTGTAACTCCAATTCCAGGGGATCCAATATCCTTTTCTGGCTTCTGTGGACACCAGGAACACATGCAGTGTGCATACATACATGCATGCAAAACACCCATACACATAAAATAAAAATTAAGCCGGGCGGTGGTGGCGCACACCTTTAATCCCAGCACTCGGGAGGCAGAGGCAGGAGGATCTCTGTAAGTTCAAGGCCAGCCTGGTCTACAAAGTGAGTTCCAGGAAAGGCGCAAAACTACAGAGAAACCCTGTCTCGAAAAACCAAAAAAAAAAAAAAAAAATAAATAAATAAATAAAACAAAATAGAATGTGATGGTGCTTCACAAAAGACAAAATGACCTTATATAAGCAAATGAAAGGGCATTCCTTAATCTCTAGAAACATACAGATTAAGAACACCATGAACTACCACTTTTTATCCACCAGGACGGCTATAATAATAGATTCATTTGAAACTAGATAATTACAACCGTTGGTAAGGATGCTGAGAAATGCATTGGTGGAAATGTAAACTAGGCCAGCTGCTTTGGAAAACAATTTGGCAGTTCCACAAAAGGTTAAAAATAGTTACTATATGATCCAAAAATTCTACTAACAGAATTTTATGTATCTAAGAGAAATAAAAGTTTATGCCCACATGAAATTTTGTACACCCATGTTTACAACATTATTTGTAATATCCCAAAAACGTTAATAATCCAAATGCCCATCAACACATAAATGTCACATGACTTAGTCGCACAATGGAAAATATTTATTACTCAGCAGTAACAGCGATGAAGAATTGATATATGCTGTAACATGGGCGAACATTTTTATTGGCTTATTTTTGAAAGAGGATCTTCTTATACAGAATAAGTTGGTCTCATGATCTTCCTGCCTCTGTCTCCTGTGTGCTAGGATAATAGACATGAGCCATCATCACACTCAACTGAATTAATCCTTAAAATACCATGCCTAGGGGGATGGGGAGACGGCTCAGTCAGTAAAATGCTTGTCACACACACGAGGACCTAACTTAGGATCTTCAGCACCCATGTAAAAAGATAGATACAGCAGCCTACCTCTGGGCTCCACACATACATGTACACATATACATGAAGAGCTGAAGCCAATCACAAAAACATGTTATCCCATTTATATGACATTTCCAGGACAGACAAATCTATTGAGATCAAACAGTGGTTGTCTGAGCTTGAGGGAAATAACTGCTAAAAGCTTCTTTAGATGGGTGACTTAAATGTTCTAAAACTATAGTGATAGCTCTATAATCCTAAATAAACCAAAAACCACTAAATTATACTTCTACACGGTGTGTGAATTATACCCCAATAAATCAATTTAACAGTGCTTATTTTACATACCACATCTAACTCTAGACTGGCCACATTTTCTTTCTTTCTCTTTTTGAAACAGTATCTCATTATGCAGCCTTAAATTCAAGATCTTCCTGCTTCCGTCTCAGAGCACTGAGATTATAGGTATGCATGACCATGACCATCTGGGGACAGGATACATTTGAGTGCCCAATAACCACTGTTGATTTAGTGACTGCCACATTTGACCACAAAGTTCATGATCTGGTTCATGTGAAAAATGAGTATTTTCAGAGGATATTTCAGTATATTCAGTATATTTCAGGATCTTATGAAAATTTAATTTTAAGTATTAAAAAGAAAATCAAGTCTCAGTCAGGTAAATGGCTTTTCCAAGAGTGTAAACTAGTGAATGATGGTAGCTTCAGAACAGACACTGGACAGTGTTTGGTGCCTGTCTGTAATCCCAGCACTTGAGAGACTGAGGTAGTATTGAAAGATCACACATCAGAGGCCAACCCAGGCTATATAATGAGACCCTGTTTTAAAAACAAAACAACAAAAATCCAAGCAGAGTGTGGTATTAGATGGGAATCATTTTTTTCATGGAGTGGTTGTGAAGACAAGAAGAGTTATTTGTGGGACTTGATCGGCATAATGCCTGGCTCATCTCCACCACTGACACACCAAGACACAGTCACTCATCATTACTGTGCTGTTAATACTGTCCCAGTCAGGGACAGGGAAGCTAATGAGATGGCAGAACCACTCTGGCTCACCAGATGGGGAAACGTCAGTTCTGAGTCATTCCCGAGACTCCCCTGAACAGCCTTCACACTCACCGGACTGGTAGGAGAGGAAACCACAAGCTTCGGTCCAACTCTGCCATACTCCAGGGCCTTCGGCTGACCACTCCCTTGGCCAACTGTTCCACCCACGGGGCTAGAAGGCTGCTGGTCTGAAGTGCTCCCTGCAGGGGAAGCTTGGGCAGTGCCCAGCTGCTGCACGTCTGGGGTCTCCTGGGGAAGCAGCTGATGCTTGTGGCCATCACTCGGGGTCCCAGAGTATGCGTGGGCAGGAAGGAGCTCCGCAGGCTCCTCAAAGCGCAGATGTGTGCTGGTAGCTAGGCTGTGGAGGGAGAGAGGGGTCTGGAGCGTGGAGATCTCTGTCTCTTGGCTTGGTCCGCTGCTTGGCACAGAGTTTACCTGGGCTTTGCTGAATTCTGACAACACCCTAGAAGTTTGTAAACAAAGAAACCTGTGTGACAAGTTGATGGCTAGGATGTTCACGGCTACTGGAGCAGCGGACATAGGAAACTGCTGATTATTTTAAAACCAAACCAAACCACACAGTCTAATTACTCACTCTGTTCCTCAGCTCCCACACAGGCCTCCTCTGATGCTCCTTACGACACTAGGACCTGGGACACAGTGGGTGGGCAGGTGAGCTGTAGGGCCCCCATCTCAGGTGGCACATTCACATGGCAGAAATGAGAACTTGATGTAAGTGGGAACTGACTCCAAACTGAACAGGCTAACTGTGGGCCTAGAGAACTTGCTTGGTCAAATGCAGTTGTGTAGACAATGGCTCTCTTAGTGTCATCTGTGGCTTCCCGAACAGGTGGTGCCTCCGAGTGGGGCTCCTCAATAGCTAAGAGCTGAGGCACCGATAGTCTGCTCTCTGAGATAGGGGTGGGTGAAGTGAGAATGTACTTTGTCCATGGGACAGTCATGGGGTACCAGGACTATAGTGAGGTACAAAGGCTCCTCAAAGGTTGACTAGACATAGAGAAGCTTCATGTTCCCCACAATCACTGCTGAACTCAGTGATTTCCCACATGGTGTGGAGGGTGTGCACAAGCACACAGGGTGTACCTTACTAATGTCTCCTTGTGGGATTACTGCCCCTTGTCTCCTCAGAGGGGCCAAAGAGTCAACATTACTGCCTTTGTGTATGTATATGTATACTTCTGGGCCTTCTGGAATGTGCCCTGTCTAGTGACTGCTCCTCCCTCTCCTGGGCTTCTGAGAATCCAAGTTACCTTTTTAAAATAAACTATTTGTTATTTCCTCTTCCACGTATAAAACAAGTATGCTCTGGATAAATGCTGGTTCAGAATGCACCAAGGCTGCCTGGAGTCTAAAGATGGCATGAGTCCACCACACTGGCTTAGATGGAGCAAGTTCCCCTTAATTTGGATTGATGGAAATGACTGTAGAATAGTTCTGCTCTTGCCCACACCATCCCAATCCTACCGACATTCCAAGACAATAGAGTCAGCACGTGTCACTAAACCAAGCCATTACAAATTTCCACATGGATGCCAGAATATTTCAGTTGGGTAAGGGAACAATCTTTTTAACAAATGGTGCTGTGAAAAGGAGCCAGTCACATGGAAAAGATTAAAGTTGGATTACTAGTTCACACCTTATACAAACTTAACTCAAATGCATTAAGGACCTAAATGTAAGAGCTAAAACTATAAAACTCTTAGAAGAAAATAAAGATATAAGTGCATTTTTGAGTTAGGTAAAATAATGAGTTAGGTAATTCTCAGATGTGACATCTAAACCATAAGCAATCAGTCAAAATAATAAACTGGACTTCATCAAAATTAAAAACTTCTGTGTGTAAGACAGGGTCTTACCAGGTAACTCAGGCTAATCCTTCTACTTCAGCTTCCTGAGTGACAGGATTATAAGCATGTACTACCACACCTGGCAAAAAAATCAAACTTTTATGATTCATAAAATACTATTAAAACAAGTGGCTAGGCAGTGGTGGCACACGCCTTTGATCCCAGCACTAGGGAGGCAGAGGCAAGCAGATCTCTGAGTTTGAGGCCAGCCTGGTCTACACAGAGAGTTCTAGGATAGCTAGGGCTACATGGAGAAACCCTGTCTCAAACAGCAACAACAACAACAAAAGAAATGAAGCCAGCCTCCACAGGGTGGTAAACACCTGAATTCCAAAACTTGGAAGGCTGAGGCAGAAGACTATGAATCTTGAAATCAGCCCAAGCTACACAGTAAGTTCCAGGCTACAAAGTGAAACCCTGTTTGAAAACAACAACACAACAAAATAACAATAATAGCAACACACACACTCGCACAATAAAAGAGAAGAAAGGGAGAGGAAAGGCTGGGGTGTACAGCTCAGTTTGGTAGTACACTTGCCTATTATATGCAAAGTCCTGGATTTGATTGCCATCCTGAGGGGAGAAAGATAGAAATGACAACTCACAACACAGGGGAAATACTTGTACCATTCCAAACCCAGACTATATCAAAATTCCTACAACCCAGCAATAACAAATAACTGAAGCAAAAATGGGCAAAGAGATTGAAAATATTTCTGTGAAGATAACTCTAGTAAGTACATGGTAAGGCGGTCAGCATCACCAGCCACCAGGGAAATGCAAAAAAGCCATAATGATACACTACTTTATACTTACTAGGATGGCCACAATAAAAAGGAGAATAACAAGTGTTGGCAAAGATTTGGGGAAATTAACTTTTAAAAATCTGTATGTGTAGACAGGGTCTCAACTTACTATTTAGCCAAGGTTGGCCTTGAACTTCTGAATCTCTTGTTTCTACCTCTCATTCCCAGCTAAGGAATTAGCTCTTGTGTGTTAATAGTAAGAATGTAAAATGGTACCATTGCTATAGAAAGCAGTTTGGTAGCTCCTCAGAAAATTAAACAGAGTTCCATGTGACTCAGCAACTCTCTCCAGGTCCACACCTAAGAGAGTCAAAACATGTCCAGCCAAACTTGGGACACGACTGTTCCCTATCTGTTCAGCACCACCACCTTAACAGTCAGAAGTGAAGAGCAGTCCATAACAGGTGAATGAACAGACTGTGACAGGTGCACCGAATGGGATAGTATTCAGACACGATGCCTGCTATGGTGTGGATGAATCCTGAAAATATTATACTAAGTACAAGAAACCAGCTACAAAAGGCCACATATTATATGGTTCTGTTTGTACAAAATGTCTAGAACAGGCAAATACAGAGCAAATGGCAATGCATTGCCTTTTCCTTCCATGACAATAAAAATATTCTTGAGTTACACAGTAATGATCTTGCAACTAGGCATTTTGGTTTATGCTTGTAATTCCAGCACTTGGGAAGCAGAGGGCAGGAGGACTGTGAAGAGTTTGAGCTTAGTGTGGTCTATATAATGAGTTCCATGTCAGGCTACATAACAAGATCCTGTTTCAAAAATCTGAAGGAAAAAAAAGGTAAATTTTATGATATGTGAACTTGATATCCTATCTTCATAAAAAAGACAGGTGGGAGGGTAGAGAGACAGCTCAGCAGTTAAGAACACTGGCTGCTCTTGCTGAAGTCCAGGGTTTGATTCCCATCACTTACATGGTGCCTCATAATTGCCTATAACTCTAGAGCTAGGGGATTTGGTGCCCTCTTCTGGCCTCCATAGGCACTGTACACATGTGGTGCATAGACATACATACAGGCAAAACACACATATAAAAAATAAAAATGTAAAAAGAAAATAAGTGGCAGATGTGAGGGGAAAAGGAACCTTTATACAGTGTTAGTCTAGAACTATGAAAATCAGTATGGGGGGGACGGTTCCTCAAAAAACAAAAGGAGAACAATTAGATCCTACCAGCCAGACTACCCCTGGGTAGATCCCAAGGACTCAAGTTCTTGTGCAGCACTGTTGACAACAGCCAAGTCACAGAGGCAGCCCAGTTACTCACCCGCAGATGGCTGGGTAAGAAAAACATGGTAGACACACAGCCATAAACTAGAGGAAACTGCACCATTTACAGGAAAGTGGATGGGATTGGAGACAATCAAGTTATGAGAACTAAGACTCAGGAATTGTATATTTTCTCTCACATGTAGGATCTAGGTTTAAAAAGACAGTGAAAACAGAAAGGGAAAAATCACAGGCATGCTGTATGGGAAAAGGAAGAAAACCAGGGAAAAAGGAAAGTAAGAGGGCATAACAGAAGAGGGATGTGGTCACAACACATTTGCATGTATGAAAATGCCAAAATGAAATCATTTTTAAAATGGAATTATTTTTATTATTATTGTGGGGGCATGAGTGAGAGGACAACTTGTCGAGCCAGACATGGTGGCTCAAGGCCTGTGATCCCAGCAGAGGCAGGCGGAGCTCTGATCTCAAGGCCAGCCTGGGCTACTACAAAGTGAGATGCTATCTCAAAAACAGACAGACAGAAAGAAAACAAGAAGCACAGTATGGTGGCTCATACCTATAATTCTAACACTGCCCAGGCAGGAGGATCCTAAGTTCAAGACCAGCCAAACTTCACAGCGAATTCAAGGCCAGCCTAGGGAGATGCTGTTTCAAAAATGATTGAACATAGTGGTGCACTTTTTCTTTTTCTTCTTTTGCTCTTTTTTTCAGTGGTGCACTTTTTTAATCCCAGCACTTGGGAGGCACAGGCAGGCAGATCTCTGTGAGTTTGAGGCCAGCCTTATCTACATAGTGAGTTCCAGGAGAGCCAGAGCTATATACAATGAGACCCAGGAAGGCTAGGGATATAACTCAGTGGTAGTTTGCCTAGCATAAATGAACTCTAGGTTCAACTCCCAGTATTGTCTCCCTCACCCCAAAAGAAAAAAAAAATCAAGGAAAATCTAAGAGGGATTATCCCTAGGATAAGACTTCTAGGGAGTGGAAAATGCTGAGTTCTCTGTCTCCTCCCCATTTTGGTGTGTATGGGAGAGACAGATCATGTATGTGCAGGTACAAGTGTGTTTGTGCAGGCTTGAGGACACCCTCAGGTGTCATTCCTCAAGCATCATCTATCTACTTGTATTTTTGAGACAAGGTCTCTCATGGGCCTGGAGTAGCCTAGTAAATTATGCTGGCTGGCCAGTGAGCGCCAGGGATCCACCTGTCTCTGCCACCAGAGCACTGGGATTACAAACAGGCACCACCACTCCCAGATTTTTCAACATGGGTTCTGGGGGCCCAATTCAGGAAAGACAAGTACTTTACCAACCAAGCTTCTCCCCACCCTCCTGTCTGTGCATCTGTACATGTGTGTTCACAAAGGTGTGCAAACACTACCTTGGAGAGCAGTTCTGTCAAGCCAGGCAGGGTTGGAATCCCTGACCATGCAGACCCTCATGCTGGTGGACTGTGGTTCTGCTCCACTCTAAAGTAAGGCTCACTGAAGAAAGCGCAGAGGTGAACTCCAATGCTGAGTCACTTCCCAAGGGAAGTAACAACTGACACACACTGACAAAGTTCTGCAGTGGAAAGACTGTAAGAGCCAGAGGGGACAGATGATACCAAGGGAGCAGAAGGCTGGTAAATGGACAACCCAGGCAGTCTAGCTCCTGAGTCCACAACCCTCCATAATCATAGCACAGACCCAAAGAACAGTCAGTCCTTGGCCCACAAGGCAAGCTACAATTTACTTTCTGCAAAACAGACCCCTTATAGTAAATGAAAAAGTTTCACTTTGAAGTCATGTTTTGTACTTTGTTCAACCTGCAGACATTTTAAGAGTTGAAACATTAAGGCCAGGATATTTATGCCTAATTAATAACTTAAATATTCAAGCATCATTAAAGAATAAACTCAACCGAAGTGCTGCTGAGGATCTTTTATCTTTAAAACACACACTTAGAAATGCTAATCTCTGCAGCTTACAGGCTAACATCAAGCCAGGTGTCGTGGTGCTTCTCTGGAAGATCAAGAGTTCAGGACCAGCCTAGGATACATGGTAAGACCCCATCTTTAAAATAAAAATGCTGGGCCAGGAAGACAGTTCAGCAAGCAAAGACACTTGCTGTGAAGCCTGAGGACCTGATTTGATCTGCTGGACTCACATGGTGGAAAGAGAGAATCAACTCCTGAAAGTTGTCCTCTGACCTCTACATGCGGGTGTAGCATACCCTCTCCCGCAACTCCCCCAAGGGGAACTTTGAGGTCCAGCTCTGAGAACGACAGCACTGACCCTGCATTTGCATCTGTGTAGTCAATGTCCAGTTCCTCACATCATCGTCTGGTGCTTATCTATACATCCTGACCCTCAGTTCCTTTTGCATTTCTCCATAAGAACCACGTCAATGATTTCCAGACAGGGTGGACAGTCACTGATTCAAAGACCTTATGCTGGAATTTTCCAGTCATGAGACTCATGAGAGATAAAGGCAAGGCATATGACAAAGAGAAGGCCTGAGAGAGGTAAGCTAGCATCACCCCCACCTCAGCATTTCTCAAGGCAAAGATGGCTCCTTGGGGTTTCTCCCCAATGTGCTCCATCTAAACTCCTCATTTGACATCTGAAATTGCCATCTCATGGACTCAGTGCTCTACCTCTGGAGCCTACCATTTTTACATGAGCAACTCACTGTCAGGTCTAAAGGAAACTCCAATTCCCCAAACTCCAAAAGGCTGTCCAGAAATGAGCTCAACCTGGACTATAAGAGGATTTCTGGTGGTTAGATAAAGGCCAGCATTCCTCAGGAACTTGTAAAACCAGTTTCCATCTACCAAAAGGAGTCATTTCCCTTACCGCTGGCAGAAGGGATATAATGGATCCAATGACATATACCTGTAGTTGCATATCCAAGCACATACTGGCCTCCAGGCTCCCTCAGTATCACAAGTACCTGTTATACATTCCAAAGTCCACACTAGCATCCCAGCCCTTCTCACCTCCCCAGGCTTTCCTCTTCCCAGATGTCCATTTGTTTGCTATAAGGGCAAGGGTTACCCCGCTTGCCACTGCTATTCTTACTGTGCTTACTATGCTTTCTTTTCTGTCTCTGTCTCTCTCAAAGATTTACTTATGTATTTATTATGCACGCAGTGTTCTGTCTGCATGTATGCCTGCATGCCAGAAGAGGGCACCAGATCTCATTATAGATGGTTGTGAGCCACCATGTGGCTGCTGGGAATTGAACTCAGGACCTCTGGAAGAGCAGTCAGAGTGTGCTTAACCTCTGAGCCATCTCTCCAGCCTCGATTTCTCTATTTGATATTTCTGGTTATTCTCCCTTCTCTCACAGATAGCCCTGGCCATGTCCATGTTCAGTCTATTTCTTTCTCTCTCTGCTCTGAATTCTTCCAGATGTCTCTGGATATTTTCTCTCTGTTATTTACAATAAAGACCATCCCCTTAACCATAGCATGGAACAGTCATGTTGGCAGCTTCTTTACTGCACCTCCTTGCATACACTCAACTACACAGGCAATGATTTGACTCTCAGACAGCTCTGTGAGAATCTCTATCTTAAAGATGGAGAAACAGTTCACAAAGAGTCAGCAATTTGACTGCGTTACTTGACTTGCAAATTGTGGAGCAGGCCTAGAAACTAGGTCTTCTGTGAGCCCTGCCCACATATCACTGGGTCTAATTCTATCCTACAGCAGGTAGGCTGAACCAAGGCTGCAGGGTGCACAGTAGTAGTGAAAAGGCCCTAGACACGAGTTGATGGAACAGAGGCTTTAACTCAACAAAAAGCCACTAAATACCCACAACCTTGACAGTACTTTCCAGTGGTAAGACTGAGAGATCATGGAGCTCTTCCTGGCAGTGTCAACAGACAGCATGTGTGGAAACTGTAAATCAGTGCTTCAAGGACTGCTGAACTCAATGTCCACTGAGTGGAAGAACAGGCTTATGAAGAGAATGAAGAGGCTGACAGCCCAGCAACATACATGTGCTACCTTTTGTAAGAAATGGGAGGAAATTAAAAAGTAATAAAGTAAAAGCACTGTTTCTGTTACCGATACATTTAGGAACTTGGAAGCATATGTAATCAGGGGATGGAAGCGAAGGATCAAAAAGTTCAAGGTCAGCCTGGGCTATAGCATGGGACTCTGTCTCACAAAATTAAATAAACCCCAAACAGCTCTGGGGTCTGGGGATGTAGTTCAGGGGTAGAGTTTATCTAGCTCATGTAAGGCCCTGGTTTGATTCTTAGCACTGCAAGGGTGTGGGGGGTGAAGAAGGACCTGCTGGGACGGGCAATGCAGCTTCATGGCAGACAGCTCACTTAACACCGGGGATGGGGCGGGAGTTCGGCCCACGCACCCCTCTTCGACGAGTGAGTTAAGACAGTCTATCCTACACGTTCTTCACACTCACTAGTCCCCATTTGTCTGAGGTTTTGTGTCTACTAGGTGTTTTGCAAGTGAACTCTACTTCACTGTATTTGCTAGAAATATATATGCACTCTGAACTATTATCTCCTTCCCTCTAGATGGAAAAGACTATTTTATATGGACTTCAGAAAGGCCAATGACTCAGTCCAACTCTGAGCACTAAGCCTATCCTCAGCTGGGAATGGTGGCTCACACCTCTAATGTCAGCACTCAGGAGAACCAGGTACTGCAGCCTGGACCAGAGAGGGGAGCCATTTCAAAAACCCGAAGCAATCACTCTTCCCACTGAGCTATCTCCTCAGTTACAGTGAGAGCCCTTGTCTCCTCTGACTTCTTCATGTCCCATCAGCGTTCAGTGACAATCCCATGTACCGAAGGCAGAGTGAGGGTTGGAGGAGCTTACTCACTCTTGCAGAGACCTGTCAGAGTCATCAGCATTTGCCGGGCCCAGATCTGAGTCGTAGGACATGGGTTCCTCAGAACGGTCTGGACTCTTGGAACCATTCTCCTGGAGCAGGCAGCTATCAGAGTTCAGGCTGCAGGATAGCTGGGATGAACTGGCCGTGTCCAGGCTGAGGGAAGAGGCAGTGAGCTTCCTGTTCCTGCGGATCTTATGGCCAGAGTGTTGGACTTCGATGTCCTCAGAGCCTGAGGAATGGGAAATTGAATCCAGAGACTCCTTCCGCTGTAATTCCGCCCCAGAGGTAGTGAGGGGGTCAAGTTCTGAGAGGGGACAAAGCCCAGAGAGAGACAGTGGGGTGAGTGTCCATTCATTTAAGATGGCTGACTTGTAGGAGAGTTCAAAGGACAAGGATGTCAGTCCTTGCAGAAAGCTCAGTAGGAACTCGCCCTCTTCGGCGTCTCGCAGCAGGGCCGTGGGCTGATAGTACTCGCACAACCTTGCGGGTTCCTGCAGGAGCAATTTCAGATAGCACTCCATCAGACCATCATTGAGGGCCAGCCGCAGCCAGGCCCGGCAGCGGCCTACATCTGTATTGATGAAGACCAGGTGTTCCAACTCTGAGATGATGTGTCTGGAGGGGGACAGAGCAGATGTGTTTCAAGAAACTACCTCAGATCTCAGAGACATGGTTTTAAGGCATTGCTTAGCAAGAACCAGTGATAAGTACTACAAACACAAACATACTTAAGCACAACAAATTCCAGGGTAATGTCTCAGGAAACACAGAAAAGCTGAGCTGTTGAGCTATAGCTACCTGATGTCATCTACTAACCCAAGACATAGCGTCCAACCCTAATCCCTGGGCAATAAATCCAGGGCTTTGTGTATGCTAAGCAAGCATTCTACTACTGAGCTATGCTCTCAGCCCCAGATAACTGTCACTGAAGGAAATACATGGAGTTCAGTCCTTTTGGTGGTAGAGTGGGAGGTTGGGCCATCACTTCTGGTTAGAAAGGGCAGTGCCTGAGTTAGGCCCTGAAGACTTTCCAGAAAGAAAGATGGATAAACTTTCAGCACAATGGACTATTAGAGAAAAACACATAATGGGAAGAAAAGTAGCAGACCTCTCAGGAACTGGGAGAGCTCCCTTACAGGTGGAGGGGTGGCGGGTTAGGTCAGAAAGCCAGGCAATAGAGGGAGCCTTGGCTATCACCTGACCAGGCTATATGGGACACAGGATCCCACACCTGGCTGTTAGCCAAAGGCACCTGGGGAACTTAGCGGGACACATATTCAGGGCTTCAACTAGTGAACCATTTGGGAAGTGAAGCATAGCCAAGTGAGCTGACCATAGTAGTACCATTAGAGTGGACCCTAGGTGTACCAAACTTAGTTCCCAAAGCTGCAGTGTGACATAAATCCCTTCTGCTACCACAGTGTCCTGTGCAAGAATGCACCCACCGTCCTCTGGACTCAGTGGCCAAGTTCCAATCAGCACAGTACATGTTGACTGGTTAAGTGAACTAAGGAAACATTGAACAAGATACAGAGACAACTAGAAAACCATTGTCTGGGGTTAGAGTGATGGCTCAGTGGTTAAGAGCACTTGCTGCACTTCTAGAGGATCTGAGTTCAGTTCCCAGCACATATATTGAGTGGCTCACAAGCACTCATGATTCCAGCTCCAGGGGATCTGATTACCTCTTCTGGATTCCCTGGGTACCCACATGCATGTGGCATATATACAGACACACACTCATACACATAAATTAATAAAAATTTAAAAAAGAAAGAAAACCATTGTTACTCAGAAGAGAGCTAAAAACCCAAGATAGGGCAGTGGCAGCAGGTAGGGAAATGCAAATCAGAGACTGACAAGGCATCTTCAGGCTAAGGGTGGCATTCCATATGCCATGGAGGCAGTGCCAGCTACCAGCTTAGGGCCTAAGCAGCCAAGGGCAAGGGCAAAGACAGGGCCTTGGGGTGAATATTCAGACACTATCTGGCTTCTTGGGTAAATGCCAGACACAACTTGTTATTAGTATAAAGTTTAGAACCAGGAGCTGAAGAAATAGCTCATTGGTTAAAAGCACTGGTTGCTTTTGCAAAGACCCAGGTTTGATTCCTATTACCCATATGGTGGGAGGCTCAGTCATCTCTAGCTCCAGTTCCAGGGGATCTGGCACCCTTTTATGGCTTGTGTGCCCTGCACCAAGCACATACATGGTGCACAGACATGAATGTAGGAAAACACTCATACACATAAAATTTTTTAAAAATTAAGTTTAGAAGATAGAAACTCAAATATTCAAAGGCAAGGTCAGCAAACCTTTTCTGTTAAAAGGACCAGAGAATATTTTAGTCTTTTCAGCCACACAACTCAGTAGTAACTACATGACTCAGCCCAGTGTAGTCAAAGGTCAACAGTGCTGGGGTGAGAAGCAGTCACAGGCTCTAGATGAGAGTGGAGTGCCTTAAAGTCTGGAGATAAGCCTTTCTATAAGGCCGTCTCCAGCCCTACCTCACACAGTGCCTACACTAGAACACTGTGTTTTTTGGCTTTGCCACCCTCAAGAGAGTCGAGTATCCTGTACTCTGAAGCTCTTCCCTGATGTCAACCCTCTCCAGTGTATCTCACTTGTGGGTGACAGCCTTCAGAAGGGGCCAGAAAACAGGCTGAGGCAGAGGCTTCTGATGAGTGTGCTTCTTCCTTTTCCCTCCGGCCTCAGCACGGATGTGCTTGGCATGCAAGCCATGGATAAACACAGCCTCCAGGGCACTGCACATGGTGTTGGCATCTCCATCTTCACTGGTGACCACTGTGTCCAGAGATACATACTGCTTCTGCAGAGCCTTCACAGATCCCACCAGCCTCTTCTTGATGACCTAAGTGATATCAAACACAATGGCAGACTTTAGGGGTAAATCCTACATGGAGTCTGTGGAATGTAGTCCATGGCCTGTTTTTCAATGTGTGTAACCACATACACACTATGTATATAACCTGAGACTCCTTCTGCAAAGCAAGCTACTGTGGCAAGTGAAGATCCAGCACACAGAGAAATGATTTTGCATGTATTTTTTTAAATTGGATTTATTAATTTTATTTTATGTATGAGTGTTTGGCCTACATGTATATATGTATGCATGCTTGGTGCCTGAGGTTAGAAGAGGGTATCAAATCCCCTGGAACTGGAGTTACAGATTGTTGTAAACTACCCTCCGTGTAGATGCTAGGAACTGAACCCAGGTCCTCTGCAAAAACAAGAGCTTTTAACCACTGAAGCATCTCTCCAGTTCCAATTTTTTGTTGTTGTTTTTAATGAAACTTTAGTCTTGTATTTAAATACGAGATCCATGTAGTCACAACTACGGTAGCTTGGGGGTATTCTGCAGAGATAAGCTAAGGAGGCAGAGAATATTTTAGAGCAAAAACCAAGGAAGGACTGGGGGTGTGGCTCAATGCTAGAGAGTATGCTTAGCAGGCACAAGCCCTGGGTTAGATCCCCAACACAGTGGAGGAAAAAGGTCAAGACCATAGAAGCCTAATTACATCAGCTAAGAGCCCAGGCCTAGAGCCAAAGGCTTAAGTCGGTACCAGCTCTGTTTGCAGATACTTTGCTTAACCTCTCTGAGCCTCAATTCCCTAAAGGTTAAATGGAAATGATATTTCATGATCTGTAACACTTGGACAGTGTTGCCTCTTCTTTCATTTATTTATTTATTTATGTTTCTTGAGAAATGGTTTCTACAGAGCTGGCTGTCTTGGAACTCACTCTGTAAACCAGGCTAGCCTCAAATTCAGAGAGATTTTTCTGGACCATCATGCCCAGCAGGGGTCATTGCTTGGAGGTAGATGTTGGGTTTATTTCTCCTTGTGTCCCCAACAGCTGCCATTGTGCCTGGGACACATATAGAAGGCATGCATTACAAAATGTACATCAAGGGTTGTGGAAATTTAGCATAAAATGTATATAATCATAATGATGATTGTGTCAAAGTCATACTAGTGTTTGGCAAAGAACTAGACAGAACTACAAAAAAACTGGTTTGCATCAAGTGTTAAGTTATAAACACTTCACTTTTATTTTGACTTAGGCTGAACAGTAAGTGTTCTTTGGAAAGTTGAATTTTAAAAAATTAATTAACAAGTTATAATTAGCATTAAATTCTCCATTTAAACCACAAACTTCTGGGGTTTTTTGTTTGTTTGTTTTGGTCATCCCCAGAAGTAACCATATTCCTGAATTTTGGTAACTTTTACTTTCACTAATTTTTTTTTTTTTAATTTATTGACACTGAGCATGGTGGCACACGCTTTTAATCTCAACACCCAGGAGGCAGAAGCAGGTAGATCTCTGTAAGCTTGAGGCTAATCTGGTCTACACAGGGAGCCCCATGTCAGCCAGGGCTACATAGTGAGACCCTGTCTCAAATAAAACAGACAGAAAGATGGATTTACAATGGCTGTTGAGAGGAGAATCAGTCTTCTATAGGGGATGAGCACTAGCAGGCTATCCAGTTCCATATGCAAAAGAGCAATACTAAGTGAGCTCAGTAGATCGTATACACAAAAGCAGAGAGTGAGGACGGGCATGGTGGCGCACGCCTTTAATCCTAGCACTCAGGAGGCAGAGGTAGGTGGATATCTGTGAGTTCAAGACCAGCCTGGTCCACATAGTGAGTTCCAGGACAGCCAGGCTACATAGAGAGACTGTTTCAAAAAAAAGAAAGAAAGAAAGAGAGACAAAAGAAGAGCAGCAAGTATCCTTAACTGCTGAGCCAACTCTCCAGCATTATTTTTTAATTATCATTTTTAATCATAGATGTATTCCTAAACAAACAATACCAAAACCCAGTGGTTTTATTGTATTTGTTCTGTCTTAGAGTTCATTGAATTTCTTTGATCTGAAGATTTAAGGTCAATAAAATGTAGAAAGTTCTGAAAAAGGAAGTAAAGTTCAGTGGTTTTTAGTATACTCAGAGAATTGTGCAACCTTTCCCATTAGCTAATTTCAGAGCATTTCAACACCACTGAAGGCAAGTGTGTAGCAGTGGCTGGGGGTGAGGTGGAGTGGCTGCCACTCTTTGCTGCCTCTACAGAGTTATCTATTCCGGACATTTCAAAGAAATGGAAACATACAACATGTGACTGAGTATGGCTTCTTTGACTTGGCATGTTTTCACGGTTTATCTACACTATAGCACAGATCAGTATTTAATTTCTTTTTATAATCAAGTATATCCTACTGCATGGTATATATACCATGCTTTATTTGGCCATTCATAAGAAAATAAACAGCTGCCTTGTTCCCACTTTTTGACTATAGTGCTGCTCTGAGTGTTTGTATCCACATTTTTATGCAGACCTGTTTCCAGATCTAGAATTGATAAGCCATAGAGCTCATACAATGGCACAGGCTTGCAATCCTGACACTTAAAAGCTGAGGACTTTCATGTGAGTTTGGAGGCCATCTTGATAGCAAGTTGGAGGCCAGTCTAAACTACATAGTAAAACCTGCCTGAAAATCCAAAGAATTGTTCAATCACATAAAACCTATGCTCCCTATGCGAGGCTGGGGATGTGACTCAGGGGTAGAACACCACCTACATCTGTGGAATCCTGTATTTCATCCCCAACACTGGAAAGAGAAGGAATAAAAAACAACCCAAAAGCTCTATTTAAGTTTTCTACGAAACACTGAACTGTCTGCCAAAGCAACCACTACTTTACATTCCCAGAGACTAGAGGAGAGGCCCAACTTTTTCACGTTTTTGTTAACACTTGCTATTGTCTTTCTGATTACAGCCGCCCTAATGATGTGAAGTAGCACCTTACCACGGCTTTCCCTTACATTTCCCTGGGTCTAATAGCAATAAGCATTATTTTGTGTACTTACTGGTCACTGTATAACTTCTTTGGAGAAATCCTCTGTCCACTGTATAACTTGTTTTTATGTGTGGTGTGTGTGCTTAAATGTGTCAGTGTGTGTAGGTGAACATACACATGTGTGTGGAGGTAAGAGGTCAATGTTGAGTGCCTCAGTCATTCTACACATTATTCTTATAGACAATGTGTATAAGATGAAGGTCTCTTACTGAACCTAAGCTCATCAATTCATGGGCTAGCTGGCCAATGAACTCTGGGGACTTGTCAGGCCCTCATCCTCCCGGCAACTGGAATTATAGACATAGGTTGCCAGGACTGGCTTTTTTGTGGGTTGTGGAGATCCAAACTCAGGGCTTCATGCCAGCACACACTACTGAACAGCCATCTCCCAGCCCCCAGATCATCTTTTCATTGCTGAGTTGAAGTAGTTCTCTATCTACTTTGGATACTAGACCTTTATCAGAGATAATACCTTCTCTTTTTCTGTGGACTATATCTTTTCATCTCTCCCTCAATACTTTATGAATGCTGTCCTTTGAAGCAAAGATTTTAATCTTGGAGTTGAATTTTAAATGCTATTTTAAATATATTATTAGATTATATAAAAAGCATAAACTATTTCCAACTGAGTGTCACCCAGGTGCTGGGTCAGGGAATGCAGGGATAACCAGATATACACCTCAAGGATGGGTCTGTGCAGCCCTTGCTAGGAGGCCAGGGCTCTGCTCCGGTTCCAGAGGGCCCAGGGTGGGACAGGGATAACTGCAAAGGCCCAGCTGGAAGCCAGCAGGGAGAAGGGTAGAGTTGTCCCTCTAGTGGCCAGGAGAGGGAAGGCAGCTCTCTCAGGGCTGCTGCTCCTTGTTGACAGAAGGTTCTGGTAACTGGGAGCAATACTGGGAAGAAAGGATTCTCCAAAAAAACCACCACAGGGTTTCACTGAGCCCCAAAGCTATCTGACTTCTGGCTTTCCAAGGACACAAGACAGCCAGTTGAGAGTGCCTAAGCAAGTCCAGGGCAAGCGCAGGAAAAAGGTTATTAGAGAGGCTCTGGTAAGGTGGCCACAAACATCTTTGCTTGAAAAATTTCTGGAAAACAGTACATGTCCAAAGATATATATGAACTGCCTATTTACCCCATTACTGAAACAACTAGCCAGAGCAGCTGCTTCAGACAAAAGCAAGGGCTGGGGCAAACTGTAAAGTGCATGCTGCACAAGCCTGAGAACCTGAGCTGGAAACCCTAGCACCCACATAAAAAACTGGGCAGGGTGACATCTGCAATCTCAGCACTGGGGAGGAAGAGACAGGGGAATTCCAAGGACTTGCTGCTCAGCCAGTCTAATGAAATCAGCAAGCTCCAGGTTCAGTGAGACCCTGTCTCAAAAAGAGGGTGTGGGGGACTGGCAAGAAGGCTCAGTGGGTAAGGGTACCTGCTGCCAAGTCTGACCTGCTCCAGTCCCCAGAACCCACATGATGGAAAGAGAAAACGATCTCCCATAGGTTTTCCTCTGACCACCACACACACACACACACACACACACACACACACACACACACACACACGCCACAGGGCACACATACAGGCACACAGACACATAGGCACATAGGCACAGACACACAGACACACAGACAGACAGACAGACAGACAGACAGACAGACACACACACACACACACACACACAATCTAGAAAGGTCAGGATCTCCTGGAAGCCTGCTTTTGTTGTAAATTCTTCTCTACCTGAAGTCTCTCTCTGGACATGTTCATTTATTTCAAAATAAGAAAAGCAGATGAAAGCTGGGTATGGTGATACATGCCAGAAATTCTAGCAACTTGGAGGTTGAGGCAGGAGAATCAGGAGTTTATCCTTTGCTATGAAGTAAGTTTGAGGTCATTCTAGGCTACTACATGAGACCCTATCTAAAAAGGAAAAAAAAATTAAAGAGAAAAGCTGATGAAATGGTGGCCCTGTGCAGTTCTTCCCACCCCATCCTATTTTGCCCACATACCTGGATGGCAGCCCGAGGGTCCAGCCCATTCTCCACTTCGAGCATTTCCACTCAGGCAGCAGCGCTCAAGGAGACTCACATGACACCTGCAGGGACAGAAGAAGGCTAGATGAACATGCTCCCAACTTACCCCCACAACCACAGTCCCCTCCCAGCAGGCAGCAGGCAGTCAGGCCAGGTCACTCAAATCGCAAATGAAAGGCCTTGGAGCAACCTGAAGGAAAAACTGAGACTGGGTTTTAAGGAAGGAAACAGGGCAGAGGCTCAGTCCTTGGGAGGGGTGGAACCCTTGCACCACAAATAGGGACAAGGGCTCTTCACACCAAAATCTGTGCAGAAAACCAGAGCCTATGAGATAGGCATTTGCAAAGCTTCTCCCACAGAGGGTTGACACCCCTATACAGTGGCACACTGAATGTGGGAGTCAATAAGTAAAAAACTTAGCAGGAAAAGGTTTCTGAATGGACAACAGCTAAAAAGTCATTCAAAACCAGTGTCTAATGAAGCGGAAGTATTTCTGGCAGAGCTCACGTGAACTGCATCACATGACTCAACTGCTGTTCTGAACATGCAACACGTGTTTTGTACTACACAGGAATTCACCATACATCATCATATGTTAACAATGAGCACTGTCTGGACAACCTCAGCTCAGATTTGAGCTAATCTCTCCCCCCCCCCCCATTTAGATGGGGTCTCTCTATGTAGCTCTAGCTGTCTTGGAACTCTATGACCTTGAATTTACAGAGATCTTGTCTCTGCCTTCTGGGCTCTGGGATTAAAGGTGTGCACCACTGCACCCAGTTCTCAGCTCAGATTTGAAACAACTTGTACAAAATTTTCTGCTTTTATAGAAACATAATGGTTTAATTACAAAAACAAAGGCTTTGAATATTTCTTCAGCATGTAAGTATCAAATTAGTATAGCCTTAATTGGATTGATAAACACAGCCATCTTATCAGTATGCAAATTTGCCTTTGTCTTCAATAAACAGTACAATTGTATGTGTACCAAAGAATTTTTAAATAGATTTATTTATGGTTTATTATTATTAAATGTTTGATTTGTCCTCCTTATACACCTACCTATTGGGTCATGTAAAAACTCTCAGACAGAAGGGGTTGTGAATGTGGGAACTTCAGGAGGCCTGCCAGGGCACGAAGGAGGGGCTTTCACTGAAGATGCTAAGAACTGGTGGGGACCAGGTGCTGGGCCTCACAATTCACAATTCAAGGCTGGACTTGTACTCAACTCCTGATCCAGTCCAGGGTTTTAAGCACACCTGCAGCAGCTTCAGGAGACAGCACTCTCTCCACACTTCTGCACTGGGCTGCACATCTTTAGCTTGGGTGTCACAGATGTATGTCTAAATGATCAACATGGGTTCTGACATCACAATTTGCCACTAGCTAGGCAGGACCAAGGGAGCATAGAATTTTATCTCTCAGGTGCAAGGTACTGAACATGATGTGTTTGGGTATAAATGGTTTCTGTCATTTCTGGTGGATGTAGCCACAAATCTATAAGCAAAGAATGCCACTGACCACAATGTATGTATCCACAGTTGAAGATTCCAAAGGCCAGTTGAAGATTCCAAGGGCTAGGTGCCTTCTTCCCTTGGCCCAAACCTAAGCACTCAGGCTAGGCAGGCACATTCACATGCAAACAAGTCTCTAGGGAACACTACAGAGCGAATGTTTATGCTGTCTAGCTTAATTATGGCACAAAAGTTAGCACAAGCAAGGGACATTACACAGACTGCCTTGTTTACGAATGACATTTCATTATTTCTACCTGATAGAGGAAGGAGGACGAGGAAGCTGAAACAGGTCTAGGAACAAATTTACACAGCAGTGGCTTGGCCCCACCACTCAGAGGACTGCCAACCCCAGCTCAGAGGAAACCCCAGACTCCTAAGTAAATGCCATCCTCCGAGCTTGAGCTGGGCTAGGAAGAGTGCCCTTCAGCTGCAGTCCCAAGAAACATTAAGGCTAGACTGGCAGGAAAGGCTTAAAGACAGAAGTGGAGCCTGAGGCCCAAGAAGGAGAGAAACATGGTGGTCCTCAATGATGGGGCCAATCTCTGCCTTCCCTAGATGGCAGTAATAAAAAGGGCACAGGAGCCTGGACCCAAGGCGGACCTCTTCGGACAGGCCTTGTCCAGGGGGCAGCTGTGTAGAGAAGCATGACCCTCATGGAGACAGGAAGAGCTCTGGCTCTGAGTATAAAGGCTCTGACTAAAAACTCTGGGTTTGTCCTTCCACATTCTACTCCACCTCCCCAGGGATTCTCAAGGCTTCAGGAGGCCAGCTCCATACTCTGGTTTCCAGGATGGTAGAAAAGGAGGTGTTTGCTGTGGACCAGAAGTCACTCCTCACAATATGCCTGTCGTGGAGGTTGAGGTTTACACAGGCAAGATCTAGCTGCTGAGGCTCCAAGCCCCTGGCTTCCAGGGCCCAACCCTCTCTCAGTCTCAGTCCAGCTGTTCTAGACATAGTCCTCAAACTCCATTTGCTCTTCTCTCAGCCATGGTGAATAGGACCCTAGGGTTTAGACCTCAACAATGTAAATAATAGCCTGTGTCAATTACAGCTCCAGAACTAATTAGCTGAAAGTACTAGTGTACTCATGGTGGGGGCACTATTAATAAGGACTGTGGCCCAGTAATAGCTTTTAAAAACAAACAAACAAAAGCCACCCCAGGCCATGTAATCTGGAACCAGAGGTGGAAGAATCAGGAGTTCAGTATCATCATGACTTAGGAGAAGCAGGTAAGAAACAGAAATCTCAGGTCTCCTTAGTCCTTTTTGCAGCTCAAGCTGTCTCAGGTCAAAAGAACTCAAAAGCTCCTTTTACCAAATAAGAACTAAAGGCAGTAAGGCACTGTCTTACTAGATAGATCTACAGCTCCAATCAGCCGAGCCCAGGCCTTCTACATGATGCCCATGTTTCAGAACTGTCCTTTCTTTTTTTTTTTTTTGTTTTTCGAGACAGGGTTTCTCTGTGTAGTTTTGGTGCCTTTCCTGGAGCTCACGCTGTAGCCCAGGCTGGCCTTGAACTCACAGAGATCCGCCTGCCTCTGCCTCCCGAGTGCTGGGATTAAAGGCGTGCGCCACCACTGTCCGGCAGAACTGTCCTTTCTTAAATGATCAACATGGGAAGGATTTGTCCCAGTTCTAGCTAGCATAGTCCTCTTACTTCATGTACACTTTGAGGAAGAAAGGAGAAAAATGGCTTAAATGAGACTTGAAAGAATGGATAACACGGCTCTACTGCTCTCGAAACACTGTATCTATCAGTAGACGGCAAGGGCTTCTCTTTAGACACCTCAGCTACTCCAACAGCCCTCTTTCTACTGCCTGGATCACACACCTGACATTCTGAACAGCCCTGCGCTTGTGCCAGCCAGCTGCTGGACCAGTTGATGAGTCATAGTATTTCAGTTGGAAAAGAATGACCAAGTTATCTTCTGATTCAGAAAGGCAGCTGACCGCTCAGGCATGTGAATGCTGAGTGAGTAAACAGCATGTCCTTCCTTCTGAGGAAAGCTCAATCTCTAGACAAGTGTCCTGAAAGGGTAGGATGGGGTAAAGAGAACAAGCCTTTGAAGCAACAGCTTCCAATTAAATATTGCTGGAGGGTGAGAGACCAGACCCAACACTAGTGTGGGTGAGGGCACCTGTCCCTGCTGGACACATTTTCCTTCCAAATTGCCTTTCATCCAACACCACCTATCTCTCTCATATTCCTGTTCCATACAGTATAGGATTCCTCTCTCTTTTTTTTTCTTAAGACAGGACCTCACTGTGTAGCTCAGGCTGGCCTCAACGTAAAGCAATCTTCCTGCTTTCTCCTTCCTCAATGCAGAGATTACAAGGCCTGGCCAGCTATTCCTGGCTTTTATATTTTTCAGGGCTTTGTACTTCAGCAAGTACTCTACCACTGAGCTATATCCCCAGAACTTAATTTTTTATTTTTGAGAAAAGGTCTTGCTATGAAGCATAAGCTGACCTTGCACTCAATATGTAGCCCAGGAAGGTCTTAAACTTGTTGGGAAAGCTTTTGAACTCTCCATTCTCAGCCTCCTGAGTACCTAGGGTTACAGGTGGGTATCACTGTACCTAGCCAGCTTTGCTATAGGATCCTAATGACGTATATATTCTGAAAGAGTGAAAAAAAGAATCTTGAGCAACTCATTCATCACTGTTTCCTTTTTTTAAAATTTATTTTATTGGTGTTCTGCCTATATGTATGTCTGTGTGAGGGTGCTGGATCCTGGAGTTACAGACAGTTGTGAGCTGCTATGCGGGGGCTGGGAATTGAACCCAGGTCCTCTGGAAGAGAAGTCAGTGCTCTTAGCCGCTGAGCTATCTCTCCAGCCCCATCATCATTGTTTCTAGTACCTAGGACTATACACACAGTGATACTCAAAAAATCAAAAAGGAAAAAAGCAAACAACAACAAATCCACCTCTTGAATGACTTAATAAAGGTGAGGCATATAGAACAGGTACATCTATTTGACAGACTGTGGGAAGTTGAGGTATACCGCTTTGACGTGGTAGGGCTACTGGGGAATCTCTGCCAGTACGCTACACTGTCAATAAGGCAAAAGCCGTTCTGAGGGTTGCATCATCATGAGAGGATATTAAAGACAGAATTGCATTCAGCCTTCAAAGAGAGAGACCACTGTGGCAATGATAGTCTCTCAGGGTCCTTATAATTGCTAATAGGGCTGGAAGTGTATCTCAGTGGTAGAACACTTGCCTAACATGTACAAGATCCTGGATTCAATCTCCAGTACTGAGGGTGGGGGCTGGAGGGGGGTGACGGGCTGTCATCATAGATAGCTGACCCACCTGAAGCAAGCCCATCAGAACTTGGAGGAAATAGATACCAGATAGTCCCCAGGGGGCCTATAATGCTGAGCATAGGACCTTAAAGACACCCATCTGCCTCAACTACTGACAGGTAATTCACCTTTACTTGTTCCTACAAACCCCAGTGGCTAAGACTAAATGATCCAGGACCTATGAAAAGAGAAGTGATTTTACAGCCCCTGTACCAATTGTCCTTCAGCCTACCCAGGACTCACTCGTCGATACTCTTCATGACTCACAACAGCTTCTGAAGGCCATCATGTCCCTGGGTTCAGTAATGGGAAAGGTCTGCACTCAGCTATACAGAAAGGAACACTTCGAGGATTCTTCCTCACAAGTACTAGGACACATGGACAGAGCTCTGTGATCACAACCAACTCCACAATGCTCCCTGAGGCTCTCTCCTACCACAACACCTGCCAAAAAGAAGGGCTGGTTTCCATCGCCCCAGGATGAATGAGCTGGGTGAGTGGCCATTGAAGCAGGAATCTTAACAGGTCTTATTAATAAAATCAAACCTGAGGCCAGTTATTGGGGTGAATGCTGGAAGTCAGAGAAGCAGAACAAGCCACAGCCAACCTCACCTCGCCAACTCCTCAGCTGATCCTGTTTCCTCAGACTGGAGGCATCTGTGTCCTCATCTGAATGGGTCTCAGCTGAACTGTGCTGCTCAAAGCCTAAAAGCTTAATCAGCCAAATGCTTCTAGTTTCTGGTCTTCACGCCTTATATATCTTTTTGCTATCTGCCATCACTCTGTGGGATTAAAGCCTCACTTCTTGGGATTAAAGGTGTGTGTCACCATGCCTGGCCATTTCCAATGTGGCCTTGAGCTCACAGAGATCCAGAGGGATTTCTGCCTCTGGAATGCTAGGGTTAAAGGCGTGTGCTACCACTGCCTACCCTCTATGTCTAATATTGTGGCTGTTCTGTTCTCTGACCCCAGATAAGTTTATTAGGGTGCACAATATTTTGGGGAACACAATACCACCACATTTCCCCTTTTTTTTCTAAAATTAAAAAAGCTTATAACTAATACAAGAAAAATTATATCCAATAAGTATATACAATATACATAGTCAAGATTACATTAACGATGTCTAGTCCATTAACATTTGACAGGTTCAGACGAAAAACTTCATTAACATTTGATAAACTCAGACAAAAATTTTCATTACTTATCCTATTTAAAACAAGTAGTTCCTTTTTAAAAGTATATTCAATGATCTCTCTTTTTATCTTATCATATCCACATTCTCTCTTTTTTCTTTTCATAATAGATTCAGTAATCTACCTTTTGTCATTTTTATATCTTCCTCTTTTTCTTTTTAGAGTAGACTCAGTGATCTACCCATCTGTCCTATTATTGGTCATCTCTCACCTTCCAGGTATTTGAATGACACTTACCATTACAACAACAGGCACCAGTGATTTAATAGGAATGCCAGAAAAGTCATCTGTGGAGACACGTCCAGGAGACCAGAAAAAACCTCACTTGAGAATTGAGGGAGAAAGCTCTATACTCATTTACCAACTGAATCCCTACAGACACCACTTCAGCTGTTTAGTCTGCTGGGCTATGGGCAAGGAACAGACATGGCTACTGAAGAACAGCAGGTGTGACAGGAAGGGAGCCATGGCCCTAAGTTCTCAAAGTGAAAGAGAGCTGGACCAAGGAAGAGATGGACAAAGGCCCATTAGATCTAGTTAATAGTAACTCCTGGAAGCCAGACTTGGTGGCCCACGCCCATAATCCCAGCACTTGGGAAGTGGAAGCAGGCTAGCCTTGGCTAGCCTTGGCTATTTAGAGGGACCTTGTCTCAAAACAAACAATAACAAAAACAAAAAACTAAACCAAACACCCACACCTAACCCCGACTGCACAAAACCAAAGGAACAAAAAACAAACTACATCCAGGAATAGTGGCCCACACCTTTAATCCCAACACTTGGAAGGCAGAGGCGGGCGGATTTCTGTGAGTTTGAGGCCAGCCTGATCTATATAGTTGAGTTCCAGGACAGCTAAGGCGAAATAGAGAGACACTGTCTCAAAAAAAAAAAAAACAAACTAACAGCGATGAATGGGGGGGGGGGGGGTTAATATGTTCAAAGTACACTACATGTATGTATGAAATTCTCAAAGAATTAATAAGTATATATTAAGTCTAAAGCAACAAAAGGACTGGGGAAAGACGGTAGAAACTGAGGCAGCAGAGTTGGGGACAGCTTAGAAACGATTTAGGCGGCATACTGTCCTCGGGATGCCAGAGAGAAATTACCTCCACGATCAGCTAGGAAATTAGGGTGAGAGTCGGTAAGGACGGGACACAAAGACTTGACATAACGCTGAGATGACAGTCACCAAGAAGAAAGGGGCAAGTTCAACAGGAGCCCACTTCAGTAGTGGGTCAACAGGAGGGGCAGACGTCGGGTGTTCGGGATGAGCGAGCAGACCTTCGGGGGCTGAGCCGGGGTGTGCGAGGCTGCGATGAGAAATGTGAGCCAGAATGGAGGGAGGGTCGAGGGAAGGAAGGGTCAGAAGAGTTGAGGGATGAGCGTGATGTTGAGGTAAGAGGTGACGAAGGGATGTGACTCGGATCGGATTGCAACCGGGCTAAAGAGTAGTCACGAGTGAGGCTACACTTACGCAAGACCGGTGGTGAGGGGACCCGGCGCAGACGGAGGGGAGAGACCAGGTGGCCGCTGGCTGAGGGGGGAGCAGGCCCGGACTGCGAAGGGCCGACGTTCCCACCCCAAGTCTTAAGGCACCCAGGGGTGGCGAGTGGCCGCGAGGCTGCAGGCCCACCGCCCCTCGCTTCCCTTCACGCCCAGACTCACCCATAGGGAACAGGAGCAGGCGGCGGCGCTCCCGGCGAGGCGACCCCACGGCTTGCAGCACAAGCTGCGGCTCTAGAGGCTCTGACAACAGGAAGCGGCGCGCGGCGTCTGACGCCATCACGTTGGCTCGCCGCTCCGGCCCCGCCTCCGGCCCGCGAAGCCAATCGCGAGGCCTGGAGAAGCCGAGGGGCGGGACCGATAGCTTTTCCCTGCCCAGGCTTGCGGGGGGTGGAGGGGTGGGGAGCGGGGAAAGATGGGGGTCTCGGTGCTGCGGAGCGATCCTGCGGTTCGGGACCCCCGGGATCTGCGTGGCCCAGAGAGGCTGGGCCACTCGGAGCGTCCGGGCCGCCTGCCTCCAGCAGCTCTGCCTCAGACCTGACGGTCAACCCCATCCGTGCGACTTTAGGGCTGTCGTTTCGTCTCCTTAAGCTAAAGATGCGTACCACTAACCCCGGTGCCTCCCCAAGGGCATGAGTACTAGAGGGGGCAGATCCTGGCCCCAAGTGGGACCCTACGGTCTGGTTTTCTGGAGCCAGAAAACAGTTGTTTTGACTTGTCTTATACCACGTGATCTCCCTGAGCGCTCCCTTGGATGTGTTAATTTGCTTGCTGCGGTCAGCCCCTTGAGGCATGAAGCCCGGCGGACCTACTTTTCGTCTTCTCACCTTTTAATTGCTTTTGTTCCGTTACAGAAATTGACACCTGTCGTTCCGAATGGACTCCGAAGAAAACTGTCCAAAGTAGCGAGCGGCTACTAAAGGGCAGGACAGGCGGTGTAGGTACTGTACCCTTGCAGTCTTTGCCCCAAAGGGAACCTAGGATCTAAGTGCGGGCCAAAGAGGTGGGGGCTGCTAAAGAGAATCCTTAAGAGTGTATAGTAAATATGCTTCAGTTTCTGTGAGTTCATATGAGCTTTGCTCATGTTGATTTAGATGGCCTGGTTTTCTTCGTGTCCTCCATCCCCTCTGGTTTTTATACTCTTTCCTGTGTCTTCCTTGGTGTTCCCTGAGCTCCAAGGGGAGGGATTTGATGGAGCCATCCATTTTCCAAGGTCTCTCACTCTCTGCGTAATGTCTGGCTGTGGGTCTCTATTTTTGTGCTCATCTGGTGCAGGAGGAAGTTTCTCTGATGATGTCTGAACAAGACACTGATGTATGAGTATAGGAGAGCATCATTAGGAGTCATTTTATCACTACATTTTTTAAAGACCAGTATTATTTGGTTTTACTCTAAGTCTCTGGGCTATCTAGTCTCTGGTCACCCCAAGCATGTCGGGTATATGGATTCCATCTCCTGAAATCAAAGTCCAATCAGTTTTTGGTTGGTTACTCCCATACGCTTTGGCCACCATTGCCCTAGTATATCTTGCAGGCAGGACATCACTGTAGGTCAAAGGGTTTGTGGCTGGTTCGGTGTTTGGTTTCACTTTTGGTAATGTGCAAAGTGCCTTCCTGTACGAAAGACGCTAGAGCATAGGGGAGAAGGCTCTATGAGGGCACCCGCTCGACAGCTCCAGGTTCAGTGGGTTATGTAGGTGCTGTCTGCAGCGGTGGGACCTGCTGTCGGTTTGTGGAGAGCAACATGTAGTCTCGGCAACACCCTGGGTTGTTTGAGGATTCCCATGGGGTCCTTTTGGCCAACAACTCAATTAGGTGTAACCCACTCCCTGCACTGGAAGTTTCATTTGGTGACAAGAGATGGCCAGGTGGGACTGTGTCCAGCATTATTTGGAGATTCACTTAGGTTGCCTTCATATATGTATATATTTTAGGAAGTTTCTCCTGTATTAGGCTTCCATACTACCCCTCAAATGCTTCTTCCAACCCTCCCTCCCCTCCCCACTTGATTCTTCCATTCCATCCCCCCATCCATCCATAACACTTTCCTAATAAGATCTGTCTGTTCCCTCTTGTCCCTTACTCTATACCTACCCTCTGTGGTTTTATGGAATTGTAGATTGGTTATCATTGACTTAACAGCTGATATCCACATATAACTGAACACATACCATATTTGTCTTTCTGGATCTGGAATACCTCACTTGGGATGATTTTTTTTTTCTAGCTCCATCTATTTGCTTATAAATTTCATGTTGCCTTTTTTTTTTAAATGGCTGAGTAATACTCCATTGTGTAAATGTACCACATTATCTTTATTCATTCTTCTCCTGAGGGACATCTAGGTGGTTTCCAGTTTCTGGCTATTATGAATGGAGCAGCAGTGAATATGGCTGAACAAGTGTCTCTGTGGCAGGATAAATCGTTCTTTGGATATATGCTCAAGAGTGGTATAGCTGGATTTTAAGGTAGATTCCCATCTTCCTGAGGAACTGTGGGCGTGGGTCTTCACCAGGTCCTCTATGTTTATAGTATGGCCTCCAGTTTATGTTTTTATGGGATTTCTGAGTGTTCAAATGAGTAGGTCTCTGATTCTTGTGCCTTCTTTTGGATTCTTTTCCTTCTGTTCATCTCACTTTGATGTGGTAGTTTTTGTTTTTTAAGGAAGCCTGGGACATTTTTAAAAATTTATTAATTAATTATGTATACAGTGTTCTGCCTGCATGTGTGCCTGCATGCCAGAAGAGGGCACCAGATCTCATCATAGATGGTTGTAAGCCATCATGTGGTTGCTGGAATTGAACTCAGGACCTCTGAAAGAGCAGCCAGTGCTCTTAACCTTTGAGCCATCTCTCCAGCTAGTTTTTGTTTTATCTTATTATATTTTATTTTGTTATGTTTAAAAAATGAATGAGAGGCTGGAGAGATGGCTCTGCAGTTAAGAGCACTGGCTGCTCTTCCAGAGGACCCAAGTTCAATTTCCAGCACCCACATGACAGCTCACAACTGTCTGTAATTCCAGTTCCAGGGATCTGACACCCTCACACAGACATACATGCAGGCAAAACACCAATGCACATAAAATAAAAATAAATTTAAAAAATGAATGAAAACCTAGCCACTGGGTTTAAGGTTAACTAACAACTGAACTGTCATTTATACTAGCTGGGAGAGAGAAAATCAGTTTTCTCCAATGGAGTGACACTGGGTATATCAACCACTCTAGGGCAGTCCTCATGTTCAGGAGTAGTTGACCAATATATAATGGATTCCACAGTTTTTTGGTTGCTTTTATTTGGTTACAGTTTTATTTTTATTTTTGGGAGTTGTTTTATTTTCTTGGTATTATTGTAGTATTGGGTGTTTGTATTTTGTTTTTTGAGAAACAACTTGAAGTTGGGAGGGGGAGAGGATCTGAAACGACTTGGGGAAGGGGAAGAATATGATAAAGTATATTTAAATGTAAAAGTTATTTTTAAATAATTAAAAACATAATAAAAAAAGAGTACCCAGAGTAGCTGGATAATAAGCCTCTCCCTACCCCAATTTACTTATTTTGTGTGTGGAGGTCTGTAGATGATTTTATATAGTCTTCTCTCTCTTCCCACCTTTATGTGGGGATGGAACTTAGGCCAGGCTTGCCCAGCAAATGCTTGTACTCTCAGCCATCCCCAACCCCAAGCTCTACCGGTCTGAGCTTTGGTCCAACTCACCTGGACTTTAGCCTCTAAAGGTCAAGGACACAAAGTCTGCTTCCAGGGTGCCCTCATCCTATTTGGGGGTCATCAGGTCAATAGTTTTGGTGGTATTGTGTTCCCCAAAATATTGTGCACCTTAATAAACTTATCTGGGATCAGAGAACAGAACAGCCACTAGATACATTGGCTAGAAAATGGTGGCACTCATGCCTTTAATCCTAGCATTCCAGAGGCAGAAATCCGTCTGGATCTCTGTGAGTTCAAGGCCACATTGGAAACAGCCAGGCATGGTGACACACGCCTTTAATCCCAGAAAGTGAGGGCAGAAAGCAGAAAAGTATTTAAGGCGTGAAGACCAGAAACTAGAAGCTTTTAGCTGGTTAAGCTTTTAGGCTTCTAGCAGCAATTCAGCTGAGAGCCATTCAGATGAGGACATAGAGGCTTCCAGTTTGAGGAAACAGGATCAGCTGAGGAGTTGGTGAGGCGAGGTAGCTGTGGCTTGTTCTGCTTCTCTGCTCTTCCAGCATTCACCCCAACAACTGGCACTGGGTTTGTTTTTTATTAATAAGACCTTTTAAGATTCGTGCTACAAATAGTTCTCTCAGTAGAAGTGAACCCTCCTCCACAGCTGCAGACAGATTGGGTCTGAGTGTTTGGCTGCACAGTTAATGGCTCACAAAGAGTACTACAAACTAAAGACACATAAACTATTATTTTGACCTGGGCATTGGTGGCACATGCCTTTAATCCCAGCACTCAGGAGGCAGAGGCAGGCGGATCTCTGTGAGTTCAAGGCCAGCCTGGGCTACAGAGTGAGATCCAGGATAGCCAGGGCTACACAGAGAAATCTGTCTCAAAACCAAAACAAATAATCAAAAAACAAACAAACCAAAAAAAACGCCTGATGCTTGATCTCACCTGATACACACTCTGCTGAACTAGCCTTACTTCCCAACCCCTACATTACTTAGAAGTAGATTTTTTTTTTAGTCTCTCCCTCATTTTAAAAATCCACCACCAAGGGCCTGGAGTCCAGGGGCCATCAGTTTTTATAACAAGATCTAAAATAATCCGCATACATTATAATCAAGACACCTTATGACACTCTCGCCGTCCCGTCCCTCTATCAGCCTAACCCTGAATTAGCTCCACATTGAATGACTAGGGACTAGGGAGTAACTGTCACGAGTTACCGCCCTAGGGTACCCTTCCCACCCGTGTGGCCTGAGCCCGGTAGCGGCGGCCCACTTCAGGGCTCATTGGAACCCTCCCTCAGTGGTTTCCCTGTAAAATGTCTCCTAGGAAGGAAGGCAGCAGTTGCAGTAGAACATCTGGTAGGTAGGAGCCTTGCTTTTGCCCAATGGGTGCCCCAAGGAGCCTTGAAAAGAGCGGTACCATGTTGATAAGCAAGCTCATACCTGGAGTTCTTCTTAACTAAGCGAGCCGCTGAGTAGATTTGTGCCTTTAGATGGCCTTCTTAGGGCATTTCAGGTGATGAGGGAATATTTTGGGGGGGCTCCCAAGAGAGATGAGACCCTGTCTCACTATGTAGCCCAAACTGGTCTCGAACTCCCGATCTTCTTCCTCAGCCTCCTGAATGCTGCGTTTGGGAATCCACCGTCAAATGGAGGTGGAAATGTCATTAGCCTATTTTCTTCTTTAGCCCTTCCTTCTGGAATTCCCCGTGGGAGGCAATAGATTCAGAGTTTGGTGTCAGACACTTCTGGACACAGACCTCAGCTCTAAAGGGCACAGTCTCTTTACAGTTTATGGAGGAAGTATTGAACGGAACATGATAACCTTCAATAAGCTGGTCTGTATTTCATGAGTCACATGGGGAAGCTGAAGGAACAGACTGAACTGCACTCAGGAATATTCCCAAGTCATTTGTGAGGCAGGGCTTGGTACTAAGCCCTGGGGGGAAGGGAAGAGACTTGAAGAGGAAGGAGATACGGTTCTTGCCCTGTCAGGGTTTCTAACCCCATAGAGAACTCAGTCCAGAAGGCACTTCCTGTCACTATGGTGAACACTAGAGGAATGAGCCCCGGTTATGCAGTTTCCAAACCAGGGCTCTTCACACACGTTCCAGGCCCCGGTTTCCAGCACTTCCCAGCATCCAGTCTCACAGTGGCTGGATTGTCTTTTCCTGTCCCCTGGCATTGGGCTTCACCCAGTGGCTTGCTTTGGCCTTTGCCAGGAAGAACAAAGTGAGCATATGCAGAGGCTTCCTGACGTTGTGCTGGTCTCTGCTGTCACAGAAGAGCCTCTCTTGGGTACCTGCTGCCTCTCCAGCCTGGATGGTGGAGTCAACAAGGGTCGATCTGGGCTGCAGGGAGTTGGAAACCAGCCAGCATTGTGGTGTCACTAACACAGCCAGCTGAAGACCAACAAAGATTCTTGTTCTAACCCCTACATTTCAGAACGGTTTGTTCCACTGTGTTATTGTCGCAATGGCTAGCCCGTTCCTTTTATTAGGGTCTAAGTTCATGCCGAAAGAAAGAACCAGCACACAGTTGCTTAAGAAAGAAGCTTATTGAGTTCTCATGGAATAATGTGGTTAAGTCCAGGGCAGGGCACCAGGTGGTTCTGTGGATAAAGGTGCTTGCTGCTGCTGTGAGCCCAAGCCTGAGTCTGATATACAGAATCCACATAAAGGTTGGAGGATAGAATCCACACCACAGAGCTGTGCTCTGACCTCTGTATACACACTGCCCCTCCTCTACCATGGTCTTGCCACACTGCCCCCCTCTGTCATAGTCTTACCCCACATATACAATAGTAAAAAGGAGTCCAGATATAGCTCAGTTGGCAGTGATTGTCCTGCTTATTAACCTCTGGGTTCCATCCCAGCACCGAGGCATGATGGCACAGTCCTGTAATCCCAGCACTCAGGAGGTTGAAACAGTAGGGTCATAATATCAAAGTCTTTCTTACATAGTAGTTGGGCAGCAGCCTGAGCTACATGAGACCCTGTCTCAAAAAAAACAATTATTTTAGAGCTAAAGCCCATCATTTACAGGGCTGAGGCAGGAGGATCAAAGTGAGTTCAAAGCTAGCCTGAGCTACAGTGTTGAGACCCAATCTCAATCCCTCACCCCAACAACAAAAAGGCCAGAGCAAATTTGGTAGCCCATGTATGAGGCTCCTGGCTTTCTTTTTTTCAGAGCTAAATTATATATGTATTATAATACATACATACACACACATATATGGGATTTTGCACAAATGTGGGTGTCATCCTTGAACAGGGTCTTGTTAATCTCTGTATCATTCCAACTTTACTATATGTACTGTCAAAGGGAGCCCTTGAAATGAAATTTGGCCGTGTGTGTGTGTGTGTGTGTGTGTGTGTGTGTGTGTGTGTGTGTGTTGGAAGGGAACATGCCACCGTGTGCATGTGGAGGTCAAAGGACATTTGTAGGAGTTTTTTCTTCTACCATGTAGATTCCTGGGACTGAACTCAGGGCTGAACTCCCTGGCTGAGCCTTGATGCATGGAGCCCTCTGGCTGCCTCCAGGATCTGCCTTATTGCTGCATCTTCCTCGGGATGGATACTGCCTTCCTCTGAAGCTTCCATAGCATCCACACATCTAAATCTCAATTTCCTTCAGCTGCAGATGCCCAAACTTTTCACATTGTGCACCAAACCCTCCTTCAATGGCACCATTTAACAGAAAGCCTCTACTTTATCCTTTTCCACTTCTGCTGTGGGCTTCAAGTCCCACCCCCACCCCCAGGGCTTGGGGACTAGGATGTGTTCCCCTCTCTCCTCTCCTCCAGGTCTCAAGATGTCAGATCTTCATCCCACCAAGACATTAGGAGCCAGAGCTTGTGGGGCCTGGTAAGAGGTCTGAGCCTCCAGGTGGGTGTCCGTCTGGGCAATGTTATCTGTGTTGGGAAGCCCAAAGGTCATGGTCCTGTGTTGTAGAATATTATTTTAAGGTGTGTTACTTTTGTTTATGTTGCATCTGTTTAGCTCTGTGAAGCTGTGTTACTGTGCCTGTGTAAAACACCTGATGGTCTAATAAAGAACTGGCCAATGACAAGGCAGGAGAAAAGATAGGTGGGGTTGGCAGACAGAATATATAGAAGGAGAAATCTGCCAGAGAAGGAGAAGGACTCTAGTAACAAGCCACCCAGCTACACAGCAAGCCACAGAGTAAGATTTACAGAAGTAAGAGAATGGGAAATGCCCAGAGGCAAAAGGTAGATGGGATAAGTTAAGGAAACATGGCAAGAAACAAGCCAAAATAAGGTCGGACATTTATAATTAAGAATAAGCCTCCATGTGATTTATTTGGGAACTGGGTGGCAAGCCCCTCCAAAAGAGCCCAAGAGCCAAAAGAGCAAAAACAAACAAAAACAGTCCTGCACAGACAGTGTTTAAAGAAGTGGTCCTTCTTTATAGACACTCTCCCTGGCAGTGGTTTAAAAAAGGGCTATGTTTTCAGGGGTCTGCTGATCATCTGCCTTCATTACAGACAGAATAAACTAAGGATCAGTTTCAGGCATTTCAGCAGTCATCACCTTACTGGGCCTCTGACAGTCTCCACCATGTAACTGCTTGTGGACCTCCCTACGATTCAAGAGCCTGGACCATCCATTTGTCTACCCATAGCGTGGCAGGCATCTGGGTACCTTCAAGGACAGGTGGGGTTTTCCCATCACACCTGGATATAGAGGTGTGGTGTAGAGTGATCACTCCAATGGAAATCGCCACTTCATTCTGTTCAGGTTCGGGAAACCTGGGAACCACACACTTCATGACTCCCTGGACAGAGGTGCTGCTAGTCATAGGTGCTTGTATGAGATCCACGAGGGAGAAGAAATGGCTGCCATCTGATTCCTCCTCCGTCATAGTGATGTGCAGCTCCAGAGGCCACCTGGACACTCCCACACCAGTCAGCAGCCTGGGGAACTGACCTTAGCAGTGTTTCCAAATGACCGATGTTTCCAGATGACCGACTCCTTGACTATCTGGAAAGCAGCTGTGACAAAGGAAACTAAAAGCTAGAGGTACAGTCCCTCACCAGCTGTCACCAACCCCAGCACCTTCAACAAAAAGCACTAATGACTTGGACAAAATCCCTTCGGAGACACAACAGTAGCGGACAGACTTTTGGGGAAGTGGAAGAGGAACTCTGGTAGGGAGAGGAGAGGACACAGTGAGGAGGAGGTGAATATGATCAAAGTGTGTCATACACATAACAAGGGGCGGGGGAGATGGTTCAGTAACCAAAGGACGTGTACCACTTTTACAGAGAGCCTGGGTTCAGTTCCCAGCACCCACGCCAGGTGACTCACGACCAGCTTTAACTCCAGCTCCAGGGGATGTGAGGCCCTCCTGTGGCCTCTGTGGACACCTGCACCCACATGCACAAACCCATACACAATGGGTACACATCATTAACAAATAAAATAAAGCAGAAAGTCATAATGAAACCCATTCTTTCATACAATTAATTTACTGTAACAAACAAGGACACACTAACAGTACATTTAAGAAATTAGTCTTTTTGGAGTAAAATGTTAAGAATGGCTTCTAGTCTTGTCTGAGGGAGGGACTGTGCTATATCAGGAAATGCATATTTGATACCTGCCACCCAGTTGCTGGCAGATGTAGCTAGAGTTTTCCTGCCTGGCCCACAGTCAGGACAAATCTCTCTCACCCGCCAGTCCCACAGCCACTCAGACCCAACCAAGTAAACACAGAGACTTATATTGCTTACAAACTGTATGGCCGTGGCGGGCTTCTTGCTAATTGTTCTTATAGCTTAAATTAATCCATTTTTATAACTCTATACCTTGCCACGTGGCTCGTGGCTTACCGGCATCTTCACATGCTGGCAGCTGGCAGTGTCTCTCTGACTCAGCCTTCCACTTCCCAGCTTTATTCTCCTCCTTGTCCCGCCTATACTTCCTGCCTAGCCACTGGCCAATCAGTGTTTTATATCCACAGCAGGCAGAGAGCTCCTAAATCACTTGGAAATTTTCATTGCCACCAGAGTACCATTTGTTTGAATGAGGTCACTTTTGGTGGGCTTCTGGATTAAGGTTAGTCATCAGCAAGACCAAGCCACAATTCCATGCTTGCAATGTTCAGCTCCAGTCCATGTGCCCTGGGGAGAGGTGAGGAGGTGGAGATGAACAGTCAGGCCAGGTATGGTGGCACACACTGGAAACCCCCACCCTCGGAATGCTGAGGATGTGGGATTACAAATTCTGGGCCAGCCTGGGCTAATAAGACCATGTCTCAAAAGTCAATCAGGCTTTGATGAAGGGTCCCATAAAAGTCTCCAAACACGGGATCAGAACGGTTCTGGGTTGATGAGCGCGCACACAGAAGGAATGTTCTGCCCCCTAGCTCCGTACTCCATGGGAGCCTTCCCAGCTCACCTCACCTGTGCACCCCCTCCCCTGGCTGTTCGCTGCGCCCCTGAATTATTTGTGGAACAGATCAGCAGTAGGAAGGGAACTGTTTTCCCGGCAGGTGACCAACCCTGAGGTGGCCGTCCAGCTGGTACTAGTGACACCCTGGACCGGGACTGCCGTCTGAACAGGGCCCCTGGTAGAGCCGATCCCTTCTCTGGGTAGCCTGCCACCAACTCCAGTGAGAGCCCAGCTCAGCTGACTCGAGGACACGCAGCTGGTGTCCCCGGAGAACTGGGAAGCTGCTCGGGGTGGGCCCTTCCTCTCCAGTTGTGTCAGAAGTACTGAGACTAGTGAAGCAGCAGAGAAAAGGGCGCTTACCCCGCACCCAGGTGGTTTAAAATGGACCCACAAATCCAGTGACTCTTTTTCAAAAGATGGTGTTTAGCATCCCCTTCCCTTGGATGTGGAAACTTCAGAATTGAGGACAGCTGACTCAGGCGTACTCTCACAAGCAGGTGGTGCTTCTAACTTCATGTGCAAAGGAGGGAGAATGCTTGCCCTGTCCTTTTGGGGGGTAGAAAATTAAAACAGTTACTGAAAACCTGCTTTGAGAAAACGAGCAACACAGAGTCTAAGTGGCTTTGTGGAAAGCTGTCCCCTAGATATGACATGTCAGTTACCCCTTGAACTCTCAGCAGCTCTGAGAAGACTTGCACAACAAGATCAGCTCATGAAACTTCCTGTTGTGAAGCTGGAGAGGGGCCCACAAGGACTGCCCCATCCCTGAGGATTTACTGGCAGTTAACAGTTCCTAGGGAGAGGGACTCTTGAGTCCTTGCCCTTCCCTGTGGCTTTAGAGGCAGTTAACAGTTCCTAGGGGGTGGGGCTCATGAGGCCCCACCCACTTCCTGTAGCTGTCTGTAGGCAGTTAGCAGGAGCTGGTGTGGAAGGCCAGAACTGAGTGGAGTAGCAGAGAAAGGTTGCTCTCTCTGTCAGCAGTGTGTCAACACAATCGCAGTACCTCTGGGACTTCTGTTTTCAAAAGATGGCGTGTAACATCCCTTACCTTCGGATGTGGGCTGGATTTGTTGACTGGCATTTAACTGTTCACGTGCTGAGGCAGAAGTGATGCTATGTGCTTTCTAGAGCGAGGCCATAAAAAGTTTCTTCTTTTTCCTCCACCTCTCTTGAACCACCACGTTTTAATAACATTCAGTAAAGTAGCATGGGGGGAAAGACCAGCGTAGGCAGGAACTGAGGGGGCCTCACAAAACCCAGCCCCGTTTGCCAGCCATGTGGGGGATGAAACACCTTGCAGATGGATCCTGCAGCCTCACTGAAGCCTTTGGATGGCCACAGCCCTGGCCCAAATCAAACAGTGTCATCAAAGACTCATAGCTGGAACTGCTAAAGCTACTTCTGAACTCTTAACTAAACACATTGTAAGGAGTGGGTGCTTATCATTTTAAGTCCGTTTTGGGGGTGATGTGAACATCAATCTGGAGATCCTCTGAGCTTGTGGAATGGCTGGGGACTTTGGCCCCAGGCTTTGCCTTCCCCTCCATCACACAATCCCACTGATTGTCCTGAACACGAATTTCCTTGTCTCCTGTCACATGAAGGGGACAATACTAACACATGCTGTAATTATAAAATAAGGGGACATTTGGGGGACAAGGGATTTACAGAATGATAATGGAGCATGTTCAATCCCTTCTCCTGCAACGCCACCACCAGCGAGGTTTCCCTAGAGCTGGGTAGTGTCTAGCTTACAGCCCAGACCCAACCACTCCAGCTCAACTCTCTTCACAGGTTCTAGGCAGCCTCGCCTTGCCTCCTACCAACCACACATCTCTTCTGTGCTGCTCACGGATTGCCTCATTTCTCCATCTCGTGAGAACTGTCTGATGTCTTTGCTAGGTCTTCAGTGGCATCAGAAGTGCCATGCCATGTCTTCAGACTCTCCTCCTCTCTCTGGCTCCAGCCAGGTTGCGTGCCTGGGCCGAGGACAAACAGCTCATCCACGGGCTGGCTGGCCAGGCAGCCACTTCGCACTCACAAACTCTGCTCCATTTGCTCCCTCGTGGGTTGAACCTCTATTTCCCTTCACATCCCCATTGACCCTTTTGTTGTTCCAACTTTGTAAGCTTCCATCCATATCCCATTTTAAGATCTAGGTGGGAGACAAGCAAAGTGCCTGGGGTGGATCCCCCACTTAAAGAGATGTCAGTCAATCTGCTTGGATTGGGAGAGCTCTGTGTAGTTTACTGTATATATAACTTGGATGTAAGACTCCATAATCGGAGGTGGTGGCACACACTCCCAGCACTCGGGAGGCAGAGGCAGGCAGATCTCTCTGAGTTCAAGGCCAGCCTATCTATCTACAGAGCAAGTTCCAGAACAGCCAGGGCTACACAGAGAAACTCTACCTCAAAACAACAATAAAAGACTCCCTAGTCTAGAGCCTACCAAATTCAGAAAAGAAAAATACCAGCAAAAGCAGACAATTAAGTGTGAGGAAAAAGCAGGCCCAGAGAGTCAGGCAGAGAGAGCAGGCATTAAGGCCCCATAAAGCCAGTACCATAACCACCTGCCCAACCAACCTGAACCCACAGATGTCTGTGTGGCTGGCTGCCTGCCCATCAGCAGCAGCTTGTCTAGCACAATGCAGTCTGTCATAGGGATCCTGAGTGGGATCTGTGTCCCCATCTCCACCCCTCCTCCCCAATCTTGGCCCTTGGGCAGCTGCAGCCTCACACGAGCCTCCCGGGTCCAGCCATCTCAAAGCAGTCCTTCCCAGGGGCAGCTGGCCAGTGTCGGAAGCACACGGCTGGGGAAAGCCTCAAGTTCTCTTTAGAACCCAGGAGATTGACCGTGTAAAATAAGGCCTTAAAATCTGACGAACCTCCTTAGTCTAATGTAGGAAATGCATTGACCTTATCACATGGCACTTGAGACACCCAGAAAACGTTACAAAATAGCAACCACCCCTTTGGAAAAAAAGAACACCCAAGTTAGGTTGGCACAGATACAGCACGGACAGTGAGGGTGAGAGAAGGGGATTCCGTGCCCGGAGAGCGAAGATAGGAATTGTTAAACTTGGTGCTATTTACCCAGGATGGTGCAGCCAACAGCTAGCTACATAAGCACGGGAAAGCCTCCTAAGAAAAACCACAAAGCCACCTGGGGTGGGAGGGCAATGGGACCCCCTTCCCGCTTCCCGAGGCAGAGCCCACCCCTCTGAGGAAGGAGAAGATGAAGCCCGCGCAGGCTGCATCTCCCCAGCAACGACTCGAGGTGGGAGCCACCAAAATGAGCCTTCCTACCCCCCTGGAGTGTGGAAACCTGTTTTGTCCTCAGAGAAACTTTTTGGGGTTCCCTTCATAGTTGTCATGTATAACCAGAGGTTCTAGAGGGCCCTATTTGGAGTACCACATGTTACCAGGGAAATTGCCACCCTCTCTTGAGTTCTTAGCCTTGCTAATGAAAGAATTTAAGAACAAACCGAGACGAATACTTGAGGACAATTTTATAAGTATTTAAAAGAAAAACCAATCCCAGAGCAGAAAGCTGTAAATCTTGGCAGCTGCCTGGAGGAGGAGAATGGAAAAGAAGAGAGAAAACCATGATGTTTATGTTAACATCACTATGGAGATCAGCCACATGGTGGACAAGCAGCACCATGGTGGGGAGGAAGACTCTAAAAAAAGGAAAGAAGAAAGAAAGAAAAAGTCCAAAGTCTCCCCAGGTTAGCAGCCTCCACTCCGAGTTCTGGACCTACTGGCCTGTGTGTTCTTGCCCTGGGCCTTCAGCTTTTGCCCTGAGTTCTGGGACTCCTAGCCCGTACACCTTTGTCCTGGGTAGGCTCTGACTTCTTCCCTGGGTCAGCACTGTCCCAAGCTGTGAGACCCTAAGCTTGTGTGCCTTTGGCCTGGGTAGACTCTGACCTCTGACCTTCTCCCTGGGTTGGCAGCATGCAGATGTCAGAAGTTTCTAGAAAATACACTCTTGAGTTTTTCTATTCTATTTGGATTCAGGAAGGATAGCTAACGTGTGTTCGAGTGCTAAACATGT